GCTATCTATTTTGTTTGCATTTGTTATGTGTTTGAACCAAGCAAAAATATTTTGTTGATATCATCAATACATTTGAATATCATGTGTATGACTTTGTTATTATCAAAATATAATTGCTGTTTTTTGCAATTATCTTTTTTTTATAATAATGTGCAGGTTTGCAGCTATTTAGTACCTCATCTTTCATGTGAGGAGTGGACAAGGGGAAAAAAAATCTTCTAATTATTTTTCTGCTTTAGACAAAAAAAACATAAAAATATCTCATCAACTATTTTTGTATACCACACTTGTACACATATCGTAGATAATTTTCGTCAGGAACATGTTGGCGAATTTCCTGGATATTTGACAGTAGGGTAGCTGGGTTAATGCACAAGTGGCTCAAATTACATTATATGCAAGAATCATTTGTTCTCCATTTCACTCTCGTAACATAGCACTTTACTACAGTCTAGAAGCCTCCAATTGCAATCTATTTCCAGCAGTTTCTTGAATTAGAAATCAGTTTACCTTACTCCCAGTGAGAGATGTTAGAGTATGATAATTGCTTGTTTTCTAGCAACCAGTTTCTTGTCGTTAGTTATGTCTTGGAATTCAGCCATCACTATGCTATTGCAATATACCGATTATGTCATAATTTGTGGAAATCTTAAATACTAAATTGAATAAGTGTAAATGAACACTTAATTAATTTTCCTTTTTCTTTTCTTTTCTCTTTTCTCTTTTCTCTTTTCACTTTTCCCCTGCCACAGACGCTTACTGCCCAAAGTTGTATATGATGTATTTAGTCATCGTCATTTTACTTGAAAATCAACATTGGTTCACAAATTGTGAAATTTGGTATTGAAAAGAATATTAGTAAATAATGAGAAAAAACACTAATTAAAACAGTGTAATACAAAAGACAAGTTGTTATAATTAAAAGTTACAGTACATACATATACATGTACATGCTTGTACAACTAACTATATGGTGCTCTATGAGATAATCTGATAAAACTTCTGCCGCAAAGTACACTTTGGCAATGAATCTACATTACATTATACACTGTATTTTGCCAACTATGCTATTTGTAGGCCCTACTTAATGATGGCTTTATATGCAGGCTACATGGGTGGATGTATGTACAGGAAATTTGTCTCCAGGAATTAAACTTCATGTACAGTGCAAGAAATATCATTCTTTATACATAATGACACAAAAATAGGCTACCGGTATTGCTATTTAAGTATTATAGACTTGGAACATGTGCAGAAAAGATTCATGTTTCTGTGAATGTAGTTTTTAAAGTATGGTTCTACATTTAGGATTTTAAATTCTACCATCAGAAGGGTAAGCAACCAAGCAGTCTCAATATTGAATGCAATCCATACAAATACACACTATGAGCCATTCAGTATCTGCCTTTGCAAATACAAATTGTGCAGGGATAGTGAACAGGTATAAACACTGTACTTACAGAAATTCACCCTGATATCCTGTTCATGTCAAACACTGTCTACAATTATACAGTGTAGCTATGTTCACCCAAGACAAACCTAGTTTAAAGGTAATACAAAGTTTTGGTATGGGGTCATGAATTTGTTTAAATTAACATATTGGAAGCATATGCATTCCTACAATATTCATTGATTGTTGTCCCGGTTGAAATCGAGTCTAAAGTTATGAAATTATAAATAATAAACTCTTTATGTTGTATAGCTCCCGCTCAAGGTCAAGATATTAATTTAGCTATGAAGCAATGTTTCTTGATTAAAATCAACCAATTAGCTATTCCCGTTTGGAAATTATATATCACAACTACATATTCTGAGATTTTCATGGTCGCAGCTACAATTGTACGGCCGTAAGCGCTATTTGAAATTTATCAAAATTTACCGGGAGTACCGGTAAATTTTTATATTCAATTTTTTTCGAAAACAGAAGTATATTAGGGGTTAATTTTTTTAGTGCTTATAATACATCCACAGGGGCATCCAAAATTTCCAAATATATCAAAATTGTAAAGATTCACTATCCACCCAATTTTCAAAATTTCCCAAAACTTTGTATTACCTTTAAATTCTGAGCTTGCGACACCATAACAAATTAAACAATGATCAAATATAAGTGACGAAGGTCCACACAGGACCCAAGGCCTGTAGTTATTGCACCAATCTTTAAGATGGCTTGTGGTTTATAATTGCAAGTAAACTTGCAGCTTAACTTATAGTTTTGAAAATGAAAACCATGACCTGAACTTTAAGTTTACTGACTGTCGTGTTAACCTAAAGCATTGTCATGCCAATTTGAATAAAAGAATATACAAATATGTCGAGCAGAACTTCCTATTCAAGTAACTCTCATTGTATGAATTTGATCCTTGCACGTCATGTCTGCCTATTTACTCTGAGCATACCCATTTGATGTTATGTTAAAGGAACAGGAAGGACAAAATTGTGGGTGATATATTTTCCCTGTAGGCTCATGAAGTCTGTAAAGGAAGTATAGCTCAAGCATGACATGATTTCATGCAATGTGAATTCATTTCAAGAAATACCAAACACCAGGGAACTGTCTTTATAGAGAGTTGCGATTGATCCATTGCAAGTCCTCTAATCAATCGCAAGTTTGCAGTCCCCTATATCTTATGTTACTGTTATGTACATAGTTGCTATTGATATTAGTCACAAATAAGTTGCAATTAATATCAATTCATTTGTAAGACGGAGCCCAGAATTAATAAAGTGTCTATGTATATCACTCATAGAAAAACATGAATGGAACTAGCTGACAAGCCTGGCATGAAGCTTTTATGGGCGGTTTTTATGAAGTGCCTGGAAGCAAACCAGTTTCAGAATTAGCAATTTTTACCAGGAATTTGTGACCTCAACTAGAAATTACAAAAACTCTCCAGCTCCCTGGTGAATATATGTTGAAATACTTTCAAGGGAAGGAAGATGATGCACCTAATGTGTGAATGTACGGTATATTGAGGAGGATAATAATTTTGAGACACTGCATGGCGTTGGGTACTTTATATGAATCCATATCATAACTCCATACAATGTAGTTTTGAGCCTCATGATTTCAATCCTTGTTCAGATATGGTGGCTCAAAACCTCTACATTTTTAAAATCATGTGTGTTAGCTCAGTCAGTAGAGCGTCTGCCTCACAACCGGGAGGTCGTGGGTTCGAACCCCGGCCGCGTCATACCAAAAGACGTTAAAAGACGGGAGTTGCTGCTACCTTGTTTGGCGTTCAACAATAGGGGATAGAGCAACGTCGATCTGGCGCTGCTTAGTGGCTGCCGGGCTCATGATTAATTGGGCAAAAAGAATTTCCATTTTCGGTTTAAATTAATAAAATTTGGAGTGGACTTTAAAAGATTATTATTATTATTATTATTATACGCTTCACATTTCCGTATCTTATAACACAGACCTCAGTGAATACATTAAAGACCTTTGTTAAGCGCAGTAACGGTTCATTTACACGTTAAAAAATGAACTCCTGTCTCTTCCCGTAGGATCTCGTTACTCATCTGTCATCTGTCATCTATCAAAAAATTCTTCTTCTTCTTCTTCTTCCTCTTCCTCTTCCTATTCCTCTTCTTCCTCTTCCTCGGTCTACTTCTTCATTATTACCAGTATGCAATACATTCAAGCAGATAATTTCACATCTCCAATTAAAATGCATGACCGATAATTGCCTTTCGGAGTGAAAATAAAAATTGAACTATTTTCTTCTCCCCAAGGGATTTTGTTCATTGAACTTTTCTCTCACCCATCACATTTTTGTTCAGTACCCATTACAAATAAATGGAGCGCATCAATGAATAAATTCACCATGAATAATATCATGGATTCTATTCTCTCTCTCTATAATTGTAGATTATGTTGTTTACATACATTTATACTTAGTTATAGCAGGTACTGCAACATAGACTTCTTGATGAATTCAGCCATGAATGCAAATATATTTCTTGCTCAGTAATTCTTTGAAATCGCCTGTAAACGCTTAGAGCAAGCACAACCTGGGGGAAATTTTGGGTACCGGTACTGTGAATGTCTGCATTATTATAATAATAATGTCATGTTTAAATGGTAGCACATTTGGACATAAACTTTTGTTGAATAAATAAAGAAAATTTAAGAGAGACAGGCTAATGAAGGTTTGAGAAAAATATGGTGAAACACGGTTGAAAGTTTAGCTTTGAGTTATTAAAATGTTTAGTACAGAGCAAATGATAAAGGATCAGGAAAGAATCATCAAAGAGTTGCCAATATGTGTTTGATTGAATGGAAATTTAAAAAAAAATTAATCAGGTTTTATTTAAACTTTTACTGGTTTCATTTTCTAATCTTTCTGCTCCTGTTAAAACTTTTAAAAGCAATTCAATATCAGTATTTACTTCCTCGTTAGTAGCCCTTTAATTATTTCTCACATTCCTCTACAGTAGAAAATATTTTGTTAATTATAATAAGTACCTAAAATGTATTTCTTTGTGAACACCTGTACAGTAGTTTCATGATAAAAGTCAATCTTTTATCAGACATGTAGGATACAAAGAACATCAAATTTTTCTATTTGACGCAGCGCTATCTATTTACTGCAACTTGTTTCCTTTGAAGCAGATCAAAGGCAAATTTTATCGACCTTTTTACAATAATTTGTATACATTTGTTCATTTTAATATGTTAAATTATTGAACCATCTGTAGAAATATTTATTATCAGTTTGTATTAAATATATTGTGCATAGAAAATTGCTACAGTATATTTAGTTTATATGACTAGTTCAACATTACACATTTTCTTTGTAGATTGTAATTGTGGGAGACTGGGAGATAATACTGAGTTCTTCAGGATTGGCCATACGGTATTGTCTTTTGTAAAATAGTGATTTGTTGATCATCATTTATGCATTGCCTCTGTATAAATCTGAAATGCCATGCTCAGTACATTGTCAATCTATCTCATTCTCTCTTTCTCTCTCCTTTGCTTTCTCCTCCCTCAGGGACGTCAGGTGATCATTCAGGCATCTCTCTCATCATGACTCACACTCCGTAAGTAATCAAAAATTAACAGCCCTATCTCAGGCCCATTTTGCCAGCAAAATGCCTCTACTTTGATGCTGACAGCAGAAATATGAGCTCTCCACTCATTTTCTCCTTGCACTTTTGTGGGGGGGGGGGGGGGAATCATATGTTCGTAGCTAGATATTGATGATTGAGTTTAATTTTAGATCGAGGAATTCTGTAGCTCGAAATATGCTCCAAAGAAAGAATTCCATATGGTTTCTTGTGAACGGGAGTACCTAATGGCTGCACAGTTTGACACTACTTACCCTCATGCGTGACCGTGCATCATTGCCGATGGCAAATCAACACGGATATGGTGACGTGCAAGCTCTTGTCTTTCTCTCTCTCTCTCTCTCTCTCTCTCTTTCTCTTTTTCTATTAATTTTGTAGTTGTTGATCCTCTCTGTCTCTCCCTATTCTTGTTCTCTTCTTATCTTTCTCAGATCCTATCTCTCTATCTCTCCCCCCCCCCCCTCTCTCTCTCTCTCTCTCTCTTTCTCTATCGTCTGTCTCTGCCCCCCCCCCCCTTCTCTCTTTCTCTTTCTCTTTCTCCCCCTCCCCGTCTCAGATCTGCTTTTCTCCGCTTTGCTTCTTTTTACACGTGTGGACAGCATCATTGAAATCACCCTCTCTTTTTCCCATCTCTCTCTCTCTCTCTATTTCTCCCTTTCCTTACATATCTTCTCTCTTTCTTTCTCTTTTGTTTCTAGGTTCCTTTTCAATGATATAATCCTCTATGTTCCTGTCTCTCTTTCTCTACCACTCTCTCATTTCCCCTTCATGCACACTCTCAACCATCCATCTTGTAGAGACTTCAGACCTTGATCTTGCTACATCGTTAATCTATCTGCCAGACATTCGAACAGAGCAGAAATTCATGTTCCCAAGGCTAGTAGCTAATACATTATGGAGAATATTGGCAAATATATGTGACCAGTCAGGTCGAAATAAGACAGAAGTTACATTTTTTTTTAAATTCTATTTTATGACTGCTTTAGATTCTTTGTTTCATTAGCTTTGATTTGATACAAATAATATCTTTTAAACAGTGAGAGGAATTTTTTAAACAGTATTTTTACGAGAAAAAAATCGCTTCCAAAGTTTAAATTCTGTTTTGTCGTCAAACATGAGGAATTTTCATTTTTACTGACATATTTGTTCTGGAAAAGGCTCTATCAACCGCTTATTAATTTGAATAAAACCTAATTTATCTGTTTAACCTTTTCAAGCCATGTTCTCTTTTTATACAGACAACCATATATTGGTGGGATTTACTTGCTGTGGTCTGGTGATATCAACATCCCTGCTCATTCTACCAGTAAGTGTATGTTTGATTTATTGCTCTACCACTCCTTCATAACCATGATTTAGTTCATATTTCAATAGAATTCCATTATATGGACACGTGTGCATTGGGTTTTTTGTTAACATTTATAGAATAGTCCTCACAAGTGAGTGTGATATTAACACTCAAATATGAGTACCATTATGCTTTATATTAGTACTGATTTAATGACCATACCTATCAATATTGGGTCATTGAAAATTAAATGTAGCGTGTCACTTGAATTGTAGAAAATAGGTCATTTGCATGGAGCCATGAGATTTTCGTATGCACCATTTGTTTTTGAAAAGGACTACTCAAACAGCATGCAATTTAGCCCTAACAAATTCAAATTGGAACAAAATAAAGGCCCTTTCATGTTCAAAGATGTTTAGTCAATTCTAGATATGAATTTGACCTTATTTGTCTTTTTCAATTTTGTTAACAAGTGCTTTAATTGGGCTGGAAAATTTGGCAGTATTCTGTGAATAGGAACACTAATAACTTGCAGGCTCTGGTTCATATTTGTTTTTATACTTACTGTATCTATTGCATTTGTTGATGCCTGATTTGTTTTCACCCACACTTGATTTTTGTGAAAAGAATCCAGATTGGTATTTGAATAGGGGCTGAATTTCTGAGCGTTTTGTTAGAATTGTATATATTTTTTCAAGGCCTTGTTAGGCATATTACACAAGTACCCATTTTCGAAATGTGGTTTATGTGTTATTTAAGGGGTACATCAACTAGATATTTCTTACTTTATTCTTCCCATATATGTGTAGCATCTAGAGGGGAATGAAGGCTCCATCATTACATTAGAATGTTCCAAAACCACGTCTATACAATATTTCTGTACAATCACCCAGGCCTAGATATACATGTAGACACTTCCTTTCTCTATATCTTGGTTTGATTGCGTATAACAATAGGGATGCTAATTTTGTAAGATTGATACACTAAATATCTTGAAAGCTACAAATCCCATAAAAGGTCAGTTCACATAATACGGGTGTTTCTTTCCCAAGTGCCAGGGGATACTATCTTGTGTTTAATCTACATGGATAATGATTTAAATGAACAGAATATTGATGTAGAATGCATATGTTGATAGTGTGTACGCAGAACATAACCTCTTGTAAGTTTTAGGTTTGTCGAGAATATTGAGGAGATTTGTAAAAGCAGCATAGATTTTAATTACAAATTTGGTAAACTGGTGTAATATTTGTTTATATTGGTCTGTTATGTTGAAAACAAAGTTAGGCTTGATTATATGTGCAGTGTATATGTTCCAATCAATCGTAAAATCCTAGTCTTCCTAGAATCTGGAACAGTTTGGCTTGCTAGAGTACAATACTAAGGATGAGATCTAAATAACAATTAAGCCATTGTACTTGTGACTAACCTAAATGTCAAGTAAAATATTGACTTTATCTGAGTATTGACTTAGATACTACCCAAGATCCTGTTATAGCAAACTTCTTTTCTTCTCATTCTCCCCAGATGTTCATTCTGATATTGCCTGCAAGTACGACAGCTCAGCTAACATCCATCCATTTGCCTTCAGGGCCCATGCCCATGACCTAGGAAAGGTCATCACCGGTTATCTCATCCGCAATGGTGAATGGACAGTCATTGCCAAGGGAAGCCCAAAATGGCCACAGGTATACAATCTTAGGATGCAGGGGTGGCTGTTTCATGCAGAAACCAGAATTTGGGCCTCTATCAGTTTACTTTTTGGCAAGATTTCAGGCTTTTTATGAACAATGATAATTTTGAAAAGTTTCAGGCTCACTCATGTATTCTAATTGGTACAGGTTATGATGCCAGTGTACAAAGAAATAAATACAGCCTGCTGGGTGATCATCTTAATCAACATTTGCCACTCTCCACCCGGGTGTACAATGGGTATCATGTATGCTTGAGCACTACATGTAGTTACTGTGCCGTTGATCAGGGTAATCAAGTCGAATCACCATGAACTTCACAACTGTGAATATAAAGCACTATATAATGTATATTTAAAGATATATATTATTATTTGTGTGCAAGGTGGTATTTGACATTTATATCTCCAACTCTCAACGTAGCTTTAATATAGATGCATCCAGAATGACAAATACTCTTTGGCATAGAGATAGAACCATATCGTAAGGGATGGAGCCATTGCTGTTTTTGATTTTCATGCCATACAATCAGGCGATACTAGGGTTTCTCGATGTACCAAAGACTCAAGACAAGGGCAGTTAAACATTCATATTACATCTTTTTATTTAATATTTTTATATTTGTTATGTGTTGTTTAATAATAAATATGATGAACCTTCTAAATTTGGGACTGTTTTTGTTCCACCAGGCCTTCTACCCGATTGGGGAATCATATACCATCCAGCCAGGTGATATCCTAGCCGCTAGATGTACGTATGACTCTGACAAGGACATCGCTACATATGCTGGGTAAGAGACAGACATACTGACCTTTAAGATGCCTTATATATGCACCATGGGTCATATATTAGCATGCAGTGTTACGGTCAGAGTCGGGGTTAGGCCAAGGTTACGGTATTAAAAAGTGTAACCCCTAAAAGGGGAAGTCCACCCTCAAATTAAAGCCTATCTGCACTAGTTTGGCCAGGAGGGATAAGACCTCCCTGCAAAGTCACTGGCAGGTGGTTATTTCATCAATTCAGCTCTGATAGAAAAAGGGGACCACGGGGGATCAACAGGTACCGTGTAGGCATTGCTGGCTGTATAGAGGGGGCAAGTAGTGCAGTCCTGCTTTAAGTTGATTTTATTAGTAGCAGAAAAATGACAGAAACGGGTCATTGAAAGTTTGAGCAAAAAACAATTAAAAATAAGAAATTTATGAAAATACTTCAAAAATCTATCAATTTCACTCATATATTTATCTTAAATATAATTATTGCAAATAATACAACCCCTCTATGAAAAAAATCTATTCCATCATAAAGAACATGAAAATTCTGAAATTGTTTGTATAGAGCAAATGAGAAAGGGACTTCCCCTTCAATCCATAATAACACAAAAGAGGGAAATAATATATTGACACAGGACCAGTGGTGGTTAGGACCAGTGATGTGTGACTAATAAGAGAAGACAATCCCTGCACCACTCCTTCACATTCAATCAGTTATAATGACATTGACATTCATTCAAGAATTCCTCTCTTCTAATCTTTTTCTATGAGAATCGCACCCTCCGCTGAGCATTCTTTTAAAGTTTGCAAATAACTATGAACAATATTATAGATTAGAAGCGTGATCAATTATACTGAATACATGAGTGGAGAAAGGGTCCAAGTCGGTCACACACAAAAAAGTTTTGAATAAAAAAAAGCTTTATAATTCCTTGAGTTTAAGAGATAAAATATTTTCATTTTGATATATACTTAGAATACTCATTTTTCCTTTCTTTTCTTAAAAAAGAAGGAAAAATAGATTCTTTGGACTTAAGTCTTTCTTCCTCTCGTGTTTTCAATTACCCTTAAGATTTAATTCAGACTTCATACAAATGAGACGTCATGCATATTGTAAGGTCATACTTTATCAGTTATCTTGAGCCTTATTATGGACATCAAATCAATCATATCTGGATATATATCAGGATCATGCTTCAATTAACATCTTCATGGAGTAGCCTAAGGGACATGTTCTGTATGAATGGATTCAAGGTCCTGATGTAGACTACTACAAAATGAGTGAACATGATTAAAATGATAAGGAAATCCTTGGTCCTTGTTTAGGATTTAAATACAGCCTTTCACAGAGTCTTTTAATCTATATCATAAGTGTTATAAAGATTGTTATATTTTGTTTCTGTTGGTCACATCTTCTAGCATACTGCTTGCCCAAGCGATTGATTAAAAAATCTTGTGATCAATTGATGATGGTACCAGAAAAAAATACACCTCTTTTTTAAGTCAAAGATGACATTGAGAGACTCTCATTTTTGGTTGACGTAAATTGAATAAAGAATTGTGTTGAATATGAAACATTTCACAGAATCGCCCACGAGTACATTTGCCTCTAAGTCCCTATGTTTTTTTTGCTCTAGTGAGTCTTTACTTTCTGTTCTCTTTTCTATGATTACAGAGGCACGCACAATGATGAAATGTGCAACATGTATCTGATGTACTACACCGATGCAACGCGAGGCGAGGCCTTCCAAGAGTGCGGGCGCCCGGCTCCAGGCAGCTTCTTCTCATCAGCCCCTCCCGGCTACAACACCGTCCCCTCTCTCCCTACCTCCTCCCAGCCGGAAACCCACTCACGTAACCGCCCTGCCCCTGTCGACACCTGGGACCCTTATTATGACTACGCTAACCAGCAGGGGTATGATAAAGATGGGCAGAGTTACCCGCAGGAGGGGAGCAACGTCGATTACGTTTCCCCGTCCGTTGAGGATGTGGGTGGTGGGGGAGGGCGTGGCGGGGGAGGGCGTGGTGGGGAGGATAGGGAAAGACCGGAAGGAACGCCCAAGCCTGTTGATAACATTCCAGATACGGATAAGACATCTAGCCAGGCATCTGATGGCGATGCCACGCAAGCTGCACCAATTATAGCTCCCGGTAATGGAGACACAGTCACTCAACCACCGACGTCAAACAAAATGCAGTCATTTAGTAAGTTGAATTATTAGCTGATAGCCCAATCAATTTCTGGGTGTTTATTTTACTTATTAATGCTGCTGATACTGGTTTTTGCAACAGGTGAAATGCAGGAAACATAGTTTTGATTGTGGAAGACTCGTGCCTTCCACACATATATTATCTGAATGAAGCACCAACTCTTACCGCGCCACTAAGTTGATAATTTACAAATTAGCAATAAAATAATCAACAAAATTATTTAGTTTTGATTTTGTATTCATTTCTTTTTAATCTATTGTAAATATCAGTTTGGTCATTGGGCATGAAATAAAATCATCCTTGTGAACAAACTTGTCTAATGTGCCTATTTCAACATTCCTAGTTCAACCAGGCAGAAGTCAGTCCCTCAAACCCTTGTGGAATAATTAATATTCTCTGACTACAATCTTCATCAATAGTGATCTGTCAGTTTATGACAGATTCAGTGACCCAATCAAAAAATTTTATCAAGTGTCTCTCCAAGTTCCTCGGTCTTGAGCCATCCGTTTCAGCCTTTCATACCCGTTGCTCCACATTCTGTGATTACATCGTTTAGAAAGCCTTTACGAGGTCTTCCCCTCTTCGTCTTTCCATGAATACGACCTATGACTCTGAGCATCACGCCCACATCATGCCTCCTTTATGTACATGTAGAATGATAATTGCAGAGAGGAGAAGAGCAGTGTTGATCCATTCCCACTATAAGAATATATTGTATATGATACATGTACTTGTACCGGTATATACATAATTTCTTGATACCTTCCTTCCTTCCTGTCCCAGCTGTTTCTGATGTTGATGGATGGCCGTCCAGTGGCAGTGGGGTGACCTTAGGTCAAGTGTCGGGGATCGCTGTGGACTCTGCAGGGAATGTACACATCTTCCATCGTGCATCAAGACCATGGGATATTCAGTGAGTTCTAATGATAATTGTTCAATTGGTAAGGCATGAATCTACATTTGCCACTCCATACCCATACCCATTATGACAGCAGGGTCCTAGCCAAGCTATATAGTTCAACAGTCAGTCCGGGAGAAGTGCTCTAAATATATAATGTACTCCTAGTCTTGTTTTTACATTTGGTTCTAGTGAATATATCTTTTTATCAGTTTTGCATAATTTCCTACCACGCCAAATAATGAGCCCAGTTTTATATTTTGAGTGATGTAAGTGTTCCTTTATTTTCCATTCTAATTGTTTTGTTCATTTCTATTTCTATATCACAGTTCATTCCAAGGAGATGTCTTCACCCAATCTAACCAAGGACCAATCATAAACAATACCAACATCAAGTACGATTCGAATACAGGCAAAGTACTCAGCCAGTGGGGAGCAAATCAGTAAGTGGATCCTTCACTTTGGTGAAATGCCATTACATGTAGGTCTATCCAGGCCGTCTGCTACCCAATTAGTCTATTCCCATATGGTCTACTGTCCATTAGGTGTGATAATCATTTGATGATTATTATTATTTATGATTAGATGATTATTAGACCATGAGGATAGTAGATGGACTAGATGTAGACATTGTTAAAGGTAAAGACCAGTTCTGGTCATGCAATTGCATTGTGAAAGAAACATTGTGGAATCGATCAGAAAAGGTTGATCATCTAGCATATAAGTATTAGTGTGTACTGCAAGGTTCTGGAATCATCAAAATGATAAGAAATTGGCCCAGTCTTGGTAAAGTTACAAGCAATGTACACGGAAAGATGTATATGGGACTACGCAACATGCAGCACATATTTTATTATCTGGCCCCTTTTTCCAACCAATATTTTCTCTGAATGAAATGTATTACTGTATTTCTGTTTGTAAGTATAATCAATATCAAAACAAATCAAATATGGGAATATACCAATTGGGTAGTAGACAAACTAGTTGCAGACCAAACAGCAATATCCTTTGACTTTTACAAGGGTCCTTCCAAAACAGTAGATAATATTTGCCTTATTAAGCAGTGAAACCTTGCAGCATATGCCTGAACATGGGTTTACCTGTCCAACATATTTAAAGGGGCCCAAGCACATGGCAGCTAATATTCACTTTAATTTAATCGACTAATTGACATATATTTCAAACTACTGACGTTCTGACAGTGTCGTAGTAACAGGGAAAAGTAACAATGATGAACTTCCTGTTAAACTGCAAAAATATGGCAAAATAGTTGAACTTGGCGTTATTAAGGATGAGCAGAAAGTAGAGCTTCAAAACGTGTCTTCTTCCTTCCAACAAAAACAAAACGTAATGGTCGCAATTCTCTCCCACAGCTAATGTACAATCTATGAACTACGGTACATACTATGCATATCAAAACAAAGGTATTCAGAAATAATTTAAAAATACGCTGTGAACCTTATCACTGCTTATTATAACAACCTCTAGACTTGTATTTGTCATTTAAATTAAATCCAGACAAATGCGTATGACTGTATGTATTGCTTAGATTGAGGATATCCAATTCGTATCACAAAATTGATTTATTTTAATTTGATTTGGTTATTTTTAATTTCAACGTAGATTCTTCCTACCCCATGGGCTGTCCATCGACCATGAAGACAACATCTGGTTGACTGACGTAGCCATGCACCAGGTCTTCAAGTACCCCCCAGGAGGGGCAGGCACCCCTCTCCTCACCCTGGGTACCAAGCTTGAGCCGGGAGATGACAAGAACCACTTCTGCAAGCCCTCTGACGTCACGGTGGACCCCAAGACAGGCAACTTCTTTGTCTCGGACGGATACTGCAACGCCAGGGTGATGAAGTTCTCTCCAGAGGGAAAGCTTTTGTTGCAGTGGGGGCACCAGCTAAAGGGTAAGTTGTCCAGTAACACTCAACACATTAATTCACTGCAATTGATTTCATTTTTCTTTTTAAGCCCCACTGCACTACTTATAGCTACTTGCGCCCTCTATATAGCAAACAATGCCTAATCGGTGCCTGTTGGTCCACCATGATCCCCTTTTTCTTATGTTAATTGAGAGCTGATTTGATGAGATAGCCACCTGCCAGTGACCTTGCAGGGTGGTCTTATCCCCCCTGGCCAAAATAGTGCAGACGGGCTTTAACATACTTTTCCAATTGGATTTATTCCAAGTTATCTCTAGAAGGCTCAGTATTCCAATAGTTTTGGTTTATGGTTAGTAACATAGATTGGAAAAACTGATATCAGTTAAAATTTATTCCAGGTTAGGCTGAAGAGTTCAAACAAATAAAAACTGTTTGATTGTCTTTTTTTTTTTTTTTTTTTTTTTTGTTTAGAAGGATGATATTGCTATCATTCACTCTAGTAGTTTTGGACAAGAATAAAAGGTGCAAAATATAGAGAAATTGATTATTGTGGATCTGCTATTGATTTATTTCACTTTTTAGAAATATAACATATTCCAGGCAAAAAAAAATTCAAAGAAAATGATAAAACTGCAACTGTGTTATTATGGCTTTTTGATTTTGTCATAATATGTCACAAATAATTCCATCCATTTCTGATACATAGTTTAGGACGAATGCATTTATCTTGTTTTATAATCATTTGAAACAAAATTCTATCTTGGTATTGTCCTTTTAATTAGGTATGCTTGCCAGTCTACCGGTAGGTCAGTTCAACCTTCCTCACTGTATCACCATGGTATCGGATAAGAATCAGGTGTGTGTGGCGGACCGGGAAGCAGGACGCATCCAGTGTTTCAGCGCTGATTCGGGGGATTTCACCAAGCAGTTTAATCTTCCTGAGTTTGGTGGTCGCCTCTATGCTGTCGCCTATTCAAGTGCAAGTGGTATGTATGTAGTCCCATGGTTTGGTGGCTCAATGGCACAATGCTATACAGGCACCTTCCTCCAACAACTGAATTCAACCATGGACCAAATAGGAAACATAATGCTAACCCCATCACATCTAAACCTAATCTAATCTGTAAAAAGTTTTTTCTTTACAAAAGTACGGGAATAAAAACTGCAATGAGTTTTTTTTTTTCTAAAGTAAAGCTGATTGTGCTGACATATGTATATAGGACCAGAGTAAACAAATTTTAAAAAATCCATATTCTGTTAATTACCCCTTATCACCCCCCCCCCCCCACAAAAAAGAAGACTTAGTTATAATAACAGTAAATAAATTGTTGGTCAATTAATTTTTTGAGTGTCATGTAACGCCTTGCTGGAATGGAAGTCGTGCGGGCAATCACTGAATCCAATGACGGGGGTAATAGTATATATGTGAAGCGCTTAGAGACATATATTATTATTAAATAATATTTATAAAACTATGCTTTATAAAGCGCTTGTCGCTTGAGGACCTGAGCATTAAGTTAAAGGAAATCAAGTTCAAATGTATTACTAAGTTTTTTGTTGGGAGGGGTGGAGGAATTAATTTGTGAACTCTCAATGACTTATATTCCAAATTGAGCTTTTCCCATCTATTTCGATTGGGAATTTTCCATAAATTGCACCAAACCCATCAGCCGAAACTGTAGGCGGTGACGTATGTGTTTGTAATTGGTGTTAGCAAAATCATCCTCACTATACGTTCATTGAACGATCATGCTTCCCCAAGATAAGGACTGTTACACATTCAGGGTATGGCAAAATGACAGTATCCAAAATAGTGTATTTGTGGTCACAGTTAGTAAATCAATCAAGTGAAATAAGTGAAATGTTTCTTTATTTTCCAATTTCATGTAATCATTTCCTTATTATACTAAAGATAAATGACAGATACACAATTTGTAAGGAAAAAAGTGTCTCAAATATGCAAGGAAATATTATAAAATGACTGAAAAGTAGTTTGTGCATATTGAATTAGATGCTCATGCATATTCATGAGGCAGTTGTATGCATTGCTAGTCTTGTTCACAGCCCTGTTTAAATAGTTTTCATTTAATGCTCATCCTGATAACCACCAGGTTTGGAGAGATAAATAATGAGGTAGCGGGATATGACATGCTACAAGTTAACAACTGTGAGAAATGGAGGTCAAAGGTCAACCTAAAGGTTACTGACCTTTTGTTCAAAAATTGTATGGTGTGATTAAGTGTTTGAACTTTGATGACTGGAACATTGATAATTAGTTATAATTTCCAACCTATATCTTTATTTCAAATGCCATGCTGTGGGAGGGGGGGGGGGGGGGTTCAAAGGTCTTTACGGGTCAATGAACTATTTGCTAATCATACTAAAAGTACATTTTGGACAAATGTATTCGCATTCATGCAACTTGTTTTGTTGTGCCCCCACCACCTTATAGTGCTAGTGGCATAATGTTTTGAGTTTTCATCCTAGTTTTCTTTCATCCTTTTGTCCTTTCATCCTTTTGTCCTTTAATTTGTTTGCCCTTTCATCCTGTTACCACTGAGCAAATTAAACCAAAATTGGATGAAGCATGTAAAGCATGCATGGTTGAACTAATAAGATTTTAATTTTAAAAGGTCAAAGGTCACCTTACCATGAAAGGTTAAATGTACCCTAAAAGATATCCTGTAATACTGCCATAACTTCAGAATCATTGAAACAATTTAAACAAATTTGGCTCAAGTATGTATGTATGAATATGAAAAGATGAACCGAGTAGATGTTATATGTTAGAAGTCAAAGGTCAAAGGTCACAGGGTCGTTGATTAAATGAACCAAAGCGGAGGCGTATTGGAGACGGCGTCACATCCATCTATTTTTGTGTACCATGAAAAAAAAACATTAATGTGTTCTTATAGTGGGATGATAAAAAAGTCAGTATAGGCACAGGGGCTCTCAGTTGAGCAACGAGGGGACCTACAGCATTAAGTACTATCTGAGGGACTATACTGTGTTGCACAAGGGCAGTAGCTTCCTGATTGATGATTGGTTTTTGTATGTAGGATCGTACAGTTCCAAAGACCCGGCGCTCGCTGTGCAAGTGTGAAACTATTTTGATTTCTCTTTTAAATCCATAAAAACTGAATACAAAACTTATATGATTAGAAAGATATTAACAATAAGTACGGTAATCAATATTTGTTAATTTGTTTTTGAATGATTTTAATGTGAAATGACTGACTTTATCCATTACCGGTATTTATCATTTTGTGTTCTTTTCAGGTGGTTTACTATATGCAGTCAATGGTCCATCTAATGGTGTAAAACCAGTCCAAGGATTCGCTCTCAATTACACAAGCACTGAAATATTACGCATGTGGGAACCACATAGTCAGGTAAATCAAGTTATAAATCAGTTATAAATCTGAATTGAGATAATCGTATTCGGCTCCGACAAATGCAGATACCGGTATGTCTTTATCAAATCATGATTGTACATAGTATTAGAATAATATCATTTAAATTTTAAAAAGTTGATCGCTTTATTGAACACTGGAATGTTTATTACAGCCAAATTTACCCCTACGTCTCTTTTACTATAATTATCAATGCTCATTTGTATCTAGTAATGCTAATATGGAAGAATTTTTTCCCCTATATGTGGACCAGCCCTTTGCCATTCGTTTTAAAATATTTTCTTTTTAAAACTATTTCTAAGATAAATCTGGCTGAAGTCTAATATGTTTTCTTTCAAAATTAACCATGTCTAACAGGTGAAAATGGTATGTGATACTTTATTCATGTTATGAACTTGAAATTTACAATGTCATAGAATTGCCTGCATTTGTATATTTCCCCATTTAATATATAATTCTGATCAATTTATTGATGACCTTTCTCTTTCTATCAATGTTTGTTTTTGTTTTACAGAAATTTGAGAAACCTCATGATATTGCATGCACACCTGATGGGAAGCTTGTTTATGTGGCTGAAATCGGTCCAAATAAGGTCTGGAAATTCACAACTAATGCAGGTAAATATTTCAGATTATTAAATGAAATATTGTTGTGATGATTTTATCACGATTTGAATTATCTATCGTTTTAGTATTGTTTTTGTTTCATCTTTCATCTTCTCGTTCACCATTTTCTCATTTCTGTTTCTCTTTTCATATTACTAAGATATTGTTTGCTCAATATTTTTTGCACTCACCTTGCAAGTACAATAATAATTCAAATCAAGGGCACATTTATTTGGGTGTTGTGATGTATATGTTTGCCTTTTTTCTTGAAGACTAATATATGGAGAATGAGCACAATCCCTCATTTAACCCTTGGACTGGCATGCATATATTTTAGTTTCGGTCTGCAGTTTGCAGATTAAGCTTGAAGGTGAACTAAAAACTATCGATTTAAAGTAATTTTAAAATGAATCCCGCCAATCTTGTGATTTGCATGTTATATCAGAGTGAAATTATTAACTTTGTTAATTTCAATGTATTAAAAGTCTGTTCGCATGCTTGAGAATGATTTAATGTAGACCTCTCTGTGAAGTGTTGCTTTGTAATTCTTGGTCTTGCTTTTTCTTTGACTTTGCTTGGTTTTATTATTAGAAGTTTTATCGTTTGGTGTGAATTCGTCAGATTCTATAATGCACTCTGTAAGTGTGTTATCAACAACTGAATCAGAAACTGCCACAGTTATTGAGGTAGAGCATACACTCAATAGCACAGGTGAGATCCGTGGCTTGTCTTCTTGTTTCTTATTGTTTTATTTTGTAAGCCATGAATCACCTTCAAAATGGAGTGTTGATTTTTCTTTTTAAAGTTCAAAATTTGTCATACAGCATGTCGATAGCCTAAATATGCCTCTTTATATACTGGAAATCTGCTGTTCTGTGTTAGATTTTCCCCAACACTTCTTTTTTTTTTTTTTTTTTTTTTAGGGGGGGGGAAGTTTAAGCGAAATTTAGTAGTCATGATTTCTATTCTAATTAACAGATTTTCAAACATATTATTCATTTATCTGCTTGGAGTGGCCTCGCATTTTATTCATCAATATCTAAGAATATTCGTAGTACCCCATTGGGAAGAAGGCTAATCATTAACTTTTGTGGATTATCTTCTCAAGGAATACATTTCCTTCATTGTTGTTCATTTTACATGATTTAATTATAAATATATAAATTATGTTTTTGTATCAAATTTAATTATTTATTGTAAAGCTCTTCATCTCTACTCTTAAATAGATAGATAACAAATAATCAAGTCAGAGTAATATTGCATATTGATCTTGAAAAAAATTAACACTTTGAAATTGAACTATTTCAACGATAACTGTACTGATAATAACTTTTGAATAGAATTTTCCAGTCACAGTTATGTAGTTGTCATCATTGCAATTATCATTATCATAATCATCATGGTAATGTTCTTCATTGTCATCTTCATTGTCATAAAGTAATATGAAGACAGATAAACCATACTTGTTTACAAGTATAAAATCTCTTATTCAAATTTAATTCATTCAATAAATTCAATTTTTTAAACTACATTTATTCTTTATTCGTAATAATTCATTTTTATCCACTTTTGTTTCTGTTCTCAGGTAACAGTACACACTTTACGCCTGTTGCAGGGGAAACACAAGCAACCAACACCAGTCTAAATGAGAGACTGAATGGATTTACCAGTGATTCCAGCCTAGGAACGACCACCATCATAGTGGCTGTACTAGCCGTCCCCATCCTTCTCATGCTTCTCGTTGCCGTGGCGATAAGGTTACATGCCCAGGGTCACTTCAGGCTTAATAAGAAGAGGCGGAACTATAAGGTACCATTTGTTATTCATTCCAGTACGGGTCATTCACACAAGATATGATAAACCGTCTGATAAAAAGGGAAAAAAAGATAGAAAAGAAGTGATCATTGTAGAGGAACAATGTTTCTGCCTCACGTTGAGGAATGTTAACCCATTACATACAAGAATCAAATGGTCCCTGTAAAGCCTATGGGGAAAGAAAATTTCAGTAGTCAATGGATTAGTAACAATATGACAAATCTGGATTTATGTAACGCTTGATATGGAATACCATCTCTAAGCAGTTTGCAGATATTATTATTATTACCCCAGTCATTGGTTTCATTTATGCACACAGTGTACATAATTTCCACCTACCATATGGCCACCGTGAGGGCATATGGCAATCTCTCACACATGAGCAAGTCATACTTCCAGATCCCCTTTTCTCTCCTGGGTATGGAGTAGCAAATGTAGATTAATGTCTTGCCAGAGAACATTGATGACTTATCTCTAGTTTCTATTATTGATTAATTTGACTCTGTATCTACTTGGTATTTGTTTTGTTGTGTTCTCTCTCTCTCTCTCTCTCTCTCTATCTCTCTTTCAGGGCCAATCCTTACAAAGCATTTGCTTTTTCTATTGATCCTTCCCATATTCTATACTGTATTTTGCATTATTGTTAGTATATTTAAATGGTTATGGTTACAAAAAATATCTTGAATCTTGAATGGCTTGTTTGTACCTAGGTATCAGCAGGAGACAAGTTCAGTCTGGGCAGCCTGCTCCACAAGAGGAACGGCTTCAGCCAGGTAGCTACCGACGACAGTGACCCTGATGCAGCTCAGTGGAGCGAGGAATCGGACATTGAGGAATACAGCATACTCAACAACACAAAGAGAACACAAAACCTGTGAGACAGACGCACCTCCTCCGTCTTTCTTCTTTCTTTCTTTGTGATGCACGAGTCGAGAGCCTGTTGATGTGACCAACGGTACGAGTCGCCCTTTGGCTAGCACTCGTCGTGTTGTGAGGTCGATCACATGAACTATGATTTTATTCCATTTTTATTACCAGTATCTACTCAAGAAAATTTTATTTTATTATGTACTCAAGAAAATAATCCTTATGACAGAGGATTGTTAAGGAATTTTCGGAAATGTATTTTGAATTCAAGAGCATTATTCAAGTAATATAGCTTTAATAGCGACATGTAGTGGCACAAAAAGAGATACATCCGGAATATAAACTGCATAATTGTTGAAAATGACAATTTCATCACACAGAGGTAGAACCATATTGTTAGGATATGGAGCTGTACAGTCAAACCTGCCTATTACGGCCATCCAAGGGGAACAGGAAAGGTGACCACTGTAGACAGGTTCTTCAAGACACATTTCTCTCTTGAGGGAGACAAAATGCATGGCCACTACAGACAGGTGGCTTTTATAGAGAGGTGGCCACTAAGGCAGGATTGACTGTACCATCTCGACTTTTACTCAGATATGTATAAAAATCACATCCTGACTTGTATGCATTTTGTGTTGAGGGTGCGTTTTTTCATGCCACTATATACATTTTGCTATTAAACCTACCTTAAGACAAATTTTTTGGGTGGTTTTCCCCCTGCCATTTAGGGTATAACTCTTGGAACAGTACTTTATGAGCTTAGGACTGAAAGGGCATGACTGAAATGATGAAGTGAGGGGCAGAAAGGCCCTACCTGTATGTGAGATAATGAATGCAAAAAGATCATATATATATTGGAATGTGAATGCAAAGAGACCTGTCTTGAAACTTGTCTACATCATTCCATAGTTAGGCTGAAACTAAAGATATCCCAGGTAGTTTACATTAATATCAAAAGAATACCAAGTATAATGCTTAACCATTCATACAGAACATCAAAAGTGTTGTTTATTTTTTGATAGTCTGTAGCATTCCCTTGCATTTATCTTCATTTTTTTTAAACTTTCTTTTTACCAACAACTTTCTGCTCCATACCAGTACTAAAATACTTTGGGGAGGGGGGGGGGGGGCTAAACTGTGGATTTAAGATATAAGATTAAAAATTATTTGATAAGTCCAATTACCCTAACAAATTAAAGTTTATTTCTTCTTCTATAAAATTTCTTCTTCTTTGTCCCTTTTTCCTACATATCTGGCCTAGTGTCTTTCTTCCAGTAGGATCTTTAAACAAAAATATTTAAGAAATTGAGAAGTGTTTGGTGTCAGATTTTGTACAGTGAAACCTGTATATAAAGAATCCTCAAGAGAGACAGAAAAGTGGTGTTTATAGGCAGGTGGTCTTTATGTACAGTTTCCTTCAATATAGATTTCTATGAGAAACAATTGTCAATGGAAACTAAAAAATGTGGTCTTTATAGACAGGTGGTCTTCATATACAGGTGGTCACTAAAGCAGGTTTCGCTGTAGTACAAACTGTCCAATACTATTTATAACTGCTTTCTACAGAGCTACAGTAGTCGGAAGAACAATTTTGATAATGCTTAATTTGTCTTTCTAAGCAATCCTCAAAGCCCTCAATTTTCTGAGCACCTTTCAAAACATCTACTTATAGGAGAGTCTGTATGGCTTGTGTACATTTTCTAATATTTATTATGCGGAACTTGAAATATATCGTTACTTGTCGTACTGAAAAACAAAATTCATTTCAAAGGTTTTTGTACTTGCTACAAGGAAATGAGTTCAATTGTAAAATATGCAAACATTGAATAGTATATAGTTTGAACTGTGTAATAAGTTGAAATTTGAAAGGTATGTGGTGCATTTCAAATGTCAACTTTAAAAAGAGAGGTTATATGCCATGGGTTGTATGAATAGTAATGTATATGATGCTTGTTTCTGTATTACATATACAACTAATTTTCTAAGAGATATGCAGTAGGTCTAACCAAGAATTTCAGCAGTTATTTGCATATTATTATTGTAAACCAATCTTTACATGTAGTTTTAAAAGGACCACCGACAATAATTTCAATTATTCAATATGAATATATCAGGAAAAAAAATTGTTTGGTTAATGTTAGCATTTATGGACATGTGGTATTCTTTTAGACCATCATTATGATGGTGCTTGAATTCGATTTACCAGTACATCTCTCTTTACCACACAGTTGAATGGACAAAGCGTTATGCTGGTCCCACCAAACCAAATACATGTATGTGCAATATATATATAACTTTTGGAAGGACCAGACATTTTCATTTTGAAGTGAGATACTGAATACCATTCTAGTTTAATCATTCCTAATTTACAGTGTCATTCCGACATCCCTCTAACTCTGCTAGATCACAAGATTTCATGACACAAATTAGAAGGATGTCATCTATTTAAACTAGCAGGGATATGAGTGTATGTCTTTTTTGCTTCTCAGTAGACGATGTGTCTTATCATATGTTTTCGTTTTCTTGTAGGATTAATTCATTTTTATTTTGCGTGATTATATTCTTCTTATTTTGTCAAGTAGTATTTATTTGCATTACATTGGTTGTCCCATAACAGAGGGAGGGGGAGAGTGAGAGAAAATTACAAGAAAGAAGAGCGATGCTTTAATTCCTTCATTCAGATAGAAAAATGAATTGGAGGTTTTCATTTTTTTTTTATGTAATCACCTTTTTTCAGAGAAATAAAAAAAAAACAGAAAATGCTCTTGATAGGCCACTCTAAAATGTAGCATTTCTCTCCTGAGGAGGGTTTTGACATAACTCACTTGCAGTTACCATGGCAACTAGAAGGGTAACACTTGCAGGCCACCCCCTCCCCTCCCTATGCCAATATTTTGCATCCAATCTGTGCCTATAGTTTTTTCAAATTTTGCTAAAATAAACTCAATGAATGAGAGTGTTTGGTCACCTTTTTTTTTAGCACCGCCTATAATATTAATATGATTAGTACAGATTTCTTTGTTATTATGATGTTCAGTTGTCCCAACGATGGATTTAATAATTGGGTTATTTTTAACCATTGATGATGAAAAAATATCAGTATGTATACAGTGCTGTTAAAAAGGTAAATTGAAAATCATTGTGTATTATTCTAAATCTAATTTAAAGATATTCAAAGCAATTAATGTAAATACTTTTGATGAAGCATTGCAGAATATCAGATAATTCATTTTGATTCACTGGTAACAGCTGACAAGCTGGTACTCTTTAAGATTGTGATATGTTTTTGTTTTTCTTTCTTGAGTTCCATTTCCAGCTCAAGTGAAGTTTGATGAGAATTCTTTTTCATTTCTCATGTTACTTTGTGCAAATAATCCGTCTTTTTGAGTGTGAAAATGGGTTGGATTGTAAAAAAAAATATGTACAGAATTTGAAGAAAAAGAAATGCAATGATACATATTTTTGTCAAAGAAACATCTTTGAAATAACTGGTGGTTTTGTGTTGATACTAAATGTTTAGTTAGATGCTGTAAGTATAATGCAATGTCTTTGACCACATTTTCTAGCATGTCTGAGATAACAGAAGATACCGCTGTAAATTCATCAAAAAATTTAGTACAGACTAGTATTTAACTTGCATTGTAATAGAAAGAGAACTTTTATAGTATTTTTAAGGTTGATAACTGCCTTTCATTTTTTTTTTTTTTTTAAATACTTATTATACAGACAAACATGCTTATGGTAGATAGGATTTATCGGGTTTTATATTTTGTTTACAAAATGAATCGTAAAAGCATCTATTCAGAAGTATTATCATATGCCAAACTGCCAAAATAGCATGCTCGTCATGGCTTGGATTGCATATTTAAGCTGATGCATATTGAACCCTGTTTGTAGCTCTAAAATGGCACTATTTCTTGATGAAACACATTTGTATCGATATACTGATAGTGAAATATTCAAGTGATAATCGTATGACTATTTGTTTGCATTATTTGCACAAACGTTTTTGAAATAACATGGTTTATTTACTTTTATGTAAAAGAGAACGAAATGCATTTATGGGTTGATATACACAAAGTAACCTTCTTTTTTTTTTCTTTGTTATTCATAACAAAGCCATATCATTTTATTATGCACATTATGATAAATTTGTCATTTAGAAGAATGCTGTAAGAGGGAATCTGGAAAAGGAAACATGATTCTGTAAACAATTTTGAACCGCCTGCTTTGGATTTAAAATTTAGCGTGTTGGTGGGTTCATATAAAAATCTCAACATCTTACATGCTATGTTTATCATCTGTAGTCAACCAAAAGGGTGTTAACTATGTGTGAAAGTTTATGAGTTGATGCCCTTGAAGCTTACAGCATGCAATATCAGGTATTATGATTTTCATGTTTTCATTTGTGCTGCTGCTGCCAAATATGCCGTCGATGGACAATATAAAGGAAATGCAAATTGAAAATGTTTGCTGAAATATGCAAGCATGTTGTAATATTCAGCTTTTCAAATCACCAACATTCATATATAAATATCTGATGTGTTAGTCAACCTCCAACTTGACTTGTTAAACTGCCCAAATATGTATTAATAAAAAAATATATAAAAATGTTCTAATTTATGTAGATCTATAAAGATATTTTTACCACAACATTAATGTGAGAAAATTATGAAAAGCTAGTATATTACATCTAGATTAGTAATTCAAGTCAGAAATACAAAATAATTAATCTCAGTAGATTGGGTCAAAGTTTACAATGGGTTGCAATGGACTTTGCTTATATATTCATTCAACGCTGGTTTAGTCCTGCAAAAGTATTTTGACTTTATTCAAATTGATTGGGTGATTCATTTTGATTAAATCGTAATTTAATATAAGTAAAATGAAGTAAATTGCCAAGTCTGTTGATATGAATGTTAAAGTATACGTTTAGGAACGAGGACCAGTGTAGGGCTTTTGAAAGAAAAATTAGACTAGTTGCATATAAAAAAGGATTTATTTTGTAATCATAGAGAATATTTTGTGCTGATTTGTATATCTTGGTTTATCCTTGCCATATCGTTCTCATTGGTGTTATTTATTGTTTATACTGCTTTGCTAGCTGTTTATGCTTGTTGTGCAGCTTTGTGTGGTAGCATTACTATTTTTTGGTATTGGATGTTTATAGATTTGGAGGATAATGTAAACTACACAGAATATATTGAGAGATGAATGTCTTCAGTCAAAAGATATAAGAAATCTTTTTGTGTGTATTTATTTTATATTTTGGTTATAATTTTGACGGAGAAGAAAGATAGAGAGAGGGGGAAGAGAGAGAGAGAGAGAGAGAGAGAGAGAGAAAGAGAGAGAGAGAGAGAGAGAGAGAGAGAGAGAGAGAAGCTCCATTTACACTGCAACCAAAAACCATCGTTTGTTTTTTCTCACATGCCGGTGTTTCGCTGGTAGTTGCGTAGCATAAACTACCGAACGCGACGAAAATAAAAAAAATGAGGGGTTCAAGGGGAGAGAGAAAGAAGAAGAAGGACGAGAAAGGAGAGAAAGGTTCTTTGTACCGGGTGGTCTCTGCAGTATGGCGGAGTGACCATAGTTCGCGAGTGACCTTAACAAGAAAGGTAACCCTATATCTTAAAAGAAAGCAGAACAAAATTTACACCAGTCTACTTGAGTGAATTTTGTTCTGCTTTCTTTTAAGAGATAGGACGAAATCTGGCCCCTCAAAAAGAGAGTTACGATTTTAAGAAAGTTTTAATTACGGTATGTATATGGGCACTTCAAATTGGCTGAATCAGACAGACGGACAAGATGAGATAAACGAGGAATGAGAAATGAGGAAAGGCAAGTCAAATAGCTGGTAGAAAATAATGAACGTAAGACAGGCGGCCACAAGAATAAGAAATATGCATGGTAAAATTAGAATTGAGAAATAAAAACTTTAAAAAAAGTTTAGAGTCCTCACATTACAATATACGGTAGTCTCCAATGTGCCAAGAATCCCGAATCATCTTTACAAATTAGACATTATATATTCATGCTCTTGTAGCTATAATGAATATTGCTGTCATGTGTTTATTTAGATTGATAGCAGAAACTTAAGAGCCGGTATAGGTCCATTCTGCTCTTACCAAACAGATCTCTATTCTGAAATAGTCTAACGAACCTAATATGAAATCCACCGCTTCTAACAAAGAACCTGTTGACATATATTTTCATCTCTTGGCAATGTAGCTCTTAAAAGCGGAGAGGAAAATATTTTTAGCTTAATTGAACATTAAATAGTTATCCAAACGGCCACATTCAACATGATTAAAAGTTCACTTTTGCACACTACCGATGCTTTGTGGAAGTCGTTATTTTTTGTCATTTCTTAGCTGAATTCGAATAGCAATTTGTCAAACGAGCACAAAGTCATTTCTCACAAGATGTATACTTCATGGTGTCAACAAAAGTACAGTTTGATAATTTGATGTTACTAAAAAAATATATATATTTCTTTTATAAATTGCCAGAATAGTGCAATCAAATTACCAAATGGATGTTACTATATTAGTATATACAAAAGTATATCATTTTGGTCCAAACAGTAAATTGTTCATACTGCACAATTAATCATTCGAAGTTATTACATATTAATTGGATAAGCTCAACTTTTGATGCTAAAATAATTTGTTACTATAATAATAGTCTCATCTAGGGCTATATGTGAGAATACATTCAACGGAGATAAAAAATATTAAAAAATCACTCTCTCAAGTCGCAAGAATAAGTTGAGCTACTCCAAAAGACAAGATGTATTGCTAAATAATGTTGGAAAAGATGACTCCCAAGGAAAATTCAATGATGGTGAAGGATGAAAAGCAGGATGCACAGTGACATAAAATACACCTTTAACAGAGAAAGAATAGTGGAAAGCAATACATTAAATGATCATTGGTAAGCGTAATAGATCATGTATTAATTGTGTCATTATGTCACTGAAACACGTACATTATTTATATCACCCATAATTTAACTGACTGGAAAGTTATATGGAATGCATTAATGGATGTCGATTCAACCTTCGTAGAATCGCAGTATTATGTGAAATTTTAGTCATTATTCAGCATCTGGTGCAGCACTAGCTCTGCTAAAAGGGGGGATTGAGTCATTTTTAATATGCAAATAAATTTAAAATAGATGAAATACATTTCTCAGCATAATTGACTCATATCGATGAGTATGAATTCATTGACCTGTAACTGGGTTTACTCACACCCTTAACATCTAAATAAGATGAACTAATAAATCAAAACAAGTCACCTAAAATGTCTTAATTATCTCTAGCATAGGCTCTATTCCTGAGAATAGACTACTACAATTCATAACTAATATCAACATTTTATAGTGAACTATTCATTAATTTGTTTGGAGGATGTTTTGTGTTTTGAAGGAATAACAATGTATTTTGCGACATTTCACTTTTGACTCGGCCCCATATTCGTGTGTACTGCATATTCCATGATTCGATAATCATTTCAAGTGGGGCATCATAATAAACAGGCTTTTCAATGATGACAACGGCAAGTATGATAATATACTAAGAGAGATATCAGCGCTAAAACTTAAATTGCAGAACTTTTTTGGAGGGGTTTAATTTAGTTTGTTTACATCTTTTAGGAGCGCAAATGAGATCTCAATCACGATGAATATAATTTATAAGGCCGGACCGGGATACAAGAAAACAAAGTACAAACACCGTTAAGAGATGCCAATGGCAATTAAGTTTCTGTAGAACGCTTTCCTCGTATGCTGATTCCCCAAATAAGACATATCAAGGAAACGAAAAGATAAAAGATCATAAATATAAAACATTCATTTATTTGTTGCCTAATACACAATAGCAGGATAGTGCACCGTCTATGTATAAGATTTTTCTTCACTATTTGGCACAGAAATAAAAGCGTGAAATCAATTTGATTAATTACACATTATTGATTTTTAAATTAAAACTGAATTTGCTGAATAGTTTGATAAGTCGGTATAGGCTAAAACTGTCTTAATCTGTGAATGTAATTTTAAAAACAATTCCGAAGCCTACATTATAGTTATTTCAAAGGAGGAAAGAAGGTTTTATAATGCTACCATGCAGTATACGCCAACCAAAAAAGGGCAAAAAACAAATAGCAACTATTGTCTTTTCTATGATTTTGTTTTTTATACAGTTACTTAATATTTTATTTTTGGAGCGCAATTAAACAAACATTATATTGACATATCAATTATCTCATGAAAACAAAGAACATACTTGATACATTTACACATCGGACAAAGGTCAATTTATTTGACGTGTGAAAACAATTGATATCATCTTTGATATCAGCTTTGATATCATGATATATATTTGAATTAATAAGGACTTGATCAAATATTTAATATAGCAAGAGAGTGTAGGATAGAGAAGTGTGTTTGCAATGTGAGGCCGTTACTATGGTACAAGCCTTCACAACAAACACTCGGCGGGGTGTAGCATTGCGCAGATTGGTTTGCAGCATGAGGTATTAATGCAGCTATGCTATTTCATTTCAGCATACACAATGCACTTGAAGAAGTACTCTACGATACACAGGTAATTTCGCTATCAAATGCAAGCATTGCCCAGTGTATCCACAGCAACGTACACACAAGTGAACAGCAGATTGAAGCGCATTACGGCGACAGTTCCCCTACACATCATTTAGCCGTGATTTGCAAGGCTGTCTTGGAAATTGATTGAAAAAAACAAAGCCTTTCCGTGCATATTTTAGGCATTTCATCGTTAAGACTGAGGGATTGTGGTCTAATTTTGAAAATCCTGCAAATATGTCGACTCGTGCTATACGCATAGTGAACAGCAACACATCGGAAGTAACTACGCATCCTTGGAAATCGAAAAACCGTTCATCTCCATCCCCATGCTCGCAGACGACACGTAAAAATGGCGCGAAAAGGACTGGTGCTACGTCGCAATTCAATGGCGGTATCACGGGGAAGACAGTGCAAGCTACGGCGTTCTCTCCGCTTTCTAGGCGGGAAAATGCTGTCGTAAAACCTCCACCTAAGGCGGGTGCGTTTCAGGAAAAGCTCACTCAACCCTCCGACTTCAGCAAATTCTACGAACGAGGCGATTTCCCAATCATGGTGGAGCATGATACGAGTCATAACAAGATAGCATGGAAGGTCAGTATTGTTGTTATACGTCATCATTTTGATATTTATCTCACGAAGATGTAAAAACACCGCAAATTTCAAAATACATCAGTTATTCGCCGTGACAATCTTGGCTTATTTGATATACTGCTGACATTATAGTGAAATCATACTTATTAAAGTAATTTGTTATATTATTTTGTTATTTTAAACAAATCGTCGCCGTTTTCACGAACCGGCACAAGCCACCGAAATCCCTTCAAAATGTAGTTTTTATTTTTTTTGCATTTTTAGCATAAGTTATCAACAATCTTTCATCTCACCAAATTTCAGCATCCAAAACGCTTTAGTTTTTGAGATATCCATGGTTACACAAATGACAAAAACGACACACGAGCCAAAAAGCCCGATTCATATTTTCACGAACCGGCACGCGCCGTTATAAGTCAATGGGCTGTGCCGGTTCGTGAAAATATCTTTGCGCTTACAAGACCTAGACGACGCGACACAGGCGGTTGTGCCGGTTCGTGAAAATAAAATACGCGCTAAGACAGCGCGAGCGCTTTTGTCTTGCGCGTAAAGTTACATAGGAAAAACGACACAGTGGCTTGTGCCGGTTCGTGAAAATATTTTTGCTACGTAAACAGCAAAATAATATTTTCACGAACCGGCACGAGAGTCCAAAGCTTCGTAATATTAATAGTAATTGTCATTATGCTTAACAAATGGAATGTATAGAAAATACAGAATATTTTCCTTTCATTGATATGTATTTTGTGATATAAAATTTGACATAAGGCATGTTTCTGGCGAATTCAAAACGGGCTAAACGTAAAACGCGTTTTTCTCAGAATGTACTTATTTCGTTGCGCGTTGGGCTGTGCCGGTTCGTGAAAACGGCGACGAAATGGGAAATCAAATTTTGTTTGTTTACATGCATATTGACTTAAAATTGGCTAGTTGCTATAATTATAGTATACTCTTTGTGAACAGAATGCATTTTTGATGAGATAAATATTTGGTGTTGTTGTTACTTTAAAAGTGAACACTTTTTAAAATCATGTGCGGTAGTGCGTGGGCTGGTTCTCAACGAGAGTGAGGGGAAATATTATAAGCTCCCTCTCTCTCTCCCTATAACTTTCTTTCCTCTCATTCTTTCTCCTTTTCTAATTCTTTCCCCTTTCGAAGAGCTCCTTGCTCGGTTTGCGCAGGCGGGGATTTTAATGATGAAACCGTAGAAAATACTCAAGTACTAATCATTGCAGTCGCGATCAGATTATAAATTTTGCACCGTCTCCATGGCAACTTCTTTTTAACGAGAATCCCGCTGTGACAATTAAGGCCCTTGTTTGTGCGCAGACGACCGCATGCAACGATGAAAATACATGTTTTTTCTCCCGCGCTTCTGCCTCAAGGTGTTGTGAAATCAATAAGGGAGTTTCAGTTTACGAGTGAAAATATTTCGTTTTACAAAATGTCTGCTGGCAAATACTATGGCCCTGGTATACTGATTTGCCACTATATTTGTACAAATTGAAAAACTCAGAAAATTCAGTTTAACTTTTTGGCCTAGAATTATTACCGGGACGCAATTACATGTACTGTACATGAGAGGGAAATGTTGTTTCGTAGTTATTGTGGTGTTTGTTGTTGCTGTCATTATTGCGGTGATGTGGTGATGGTTTTTACTAAGCTTTCTCAGTTTGGGATTTGACGGGACACCCTTTTTCCTCCTTGGATACACCACTGACCTACTATTGCTTCTATAAGTTTTTTTTCATCCTTTCCCCTTTTTGTCTTGATAATCTTTATGCATGACAATTATTTTTTTAATATCAAATTTCCTATATCATTGTTGTAGGTGGAGATTGAGAAGTTGGACTTTCATCATTACCTTCCATTATTCTTTGATGGTCTATCAGAAACACGTCATCCATACAACTTCTTTGCTCGGCAGGGGGTCCATGACATGTTGACCCATGGAGGTCATAAGGTCCTTCCGGTCATCCCTCAGCTTATCTTGCCTATCAAAAAAGCACTTCAGGTAAGAAATAATAATTATTGATGCAAAAGTTGATCAACTTTAAAATCACAACAATAAAGTGATTGGTACTTCTAACAGATGAATATGCTTCGTTTTGGTCATCGGAAAGCTTAATAAAATTCTTTCCTGACAGAGCAACATCTGAAAGATGAATTCCATCTATTAATATTGAGATACCATACATGTACGTATCTGGTGACTTAATAGTTCTTTATCACAGGTTCTATATGTAAACCAATTTTAAAAGACTTCACGGCTATGAATTTTGACAGTGAAAAGAAACAGAGTTACAGGTATATACCTGACTATCAATAAATCAGCCTTACAAAATGGAGAAACTCACTATAATTTTCAATTGTTACATTTTGGTTCCATTTCCAATGAATTTGATCAAGTTTACTCTTATTTCGTGATGGCAAAGGATTATTTGATGATAGCAACCATACAATCATGTGTGATATAAAGATGCTCATGCTATTCTATAAAATTAATGATTTAACCTCATATGCATGGTTGCTTTCATTGCAGTGCGTGTTGTAAGATATTATGTGTCGTGTTTGGCACTGCAGGGGGGGGGGGGTGGTCAAACAAATTGATTAGAAAAAAACGCTCAATACCTTATACGACACTCTAGCTTTTTGTTACGCATGCTGTTGGTTGATGATCTTGATAACTTTAGTACCATTTTTTTTTTCGATAATGGCGATAATATTTTCCTCTTTTTTTTCTTCTTCTTCAATAAAACCTGTCACAGACGAGGAACGTAGATGTAGTCTGTGCCACCATGCGATTACTCCAAACTCTGGTCTTGTGCGACAAACACGTGGTGGGCGAGGCCCTGGTCCCGTACTACCGCCAGATCCTACCCGTCATGAATCTCTTCAAGAACAGGAATAAGAACATCGGTGACGGCATCGAATACGACCAGTGGAAGGGTGGGAACGTGGGCGACCTCGTCAATGAGACCCTGGAGGTGTTTGAACGCTACGGCGGACCCGATGCTTTCATTAATATCAAGTACATGGTGCCAACGTACGAGTCTTGCATCATGAACTGAGAGACGTCAATATTGACGCTGATGTATGTTGCGCATGCGTCATTCAACTACGCCAACATTTCAATTCATGATACCGATTGCACACGAGACATCATTTGCCTGACGGAAGGCTGCGTCAGCGACTTGATGCGAAATAGAAGGGTGAAATGTGCAAGTTTTCATTGCAAAATGGAAATTGCAAATATTGCTTTTGATTATGATGTGTATGGCTCAGTAGCATTTACAGCCTTCATAAGCGCAGGAAATAACGCAAATGATGCCTCGGGTGCTAAGGTCATAATACTTTACAGTAAACAATGGAGTTTGCAGATAATTATTCACGGCTGCACACGAAAAGTCAAAACAAAATATTACACGATCTTTAAATTGTGGGTGTAAACTCAAATATTTTCTTCACCAGTGTTTCGGACAAATCTAATATATTGCACTTGATCATCATCGCAATCCTGCGTCAAGAAGTTTCGTCTTTCCATTAGACTGCGTCTAGGACTGTCCTGTGCATTTATATGCCTGAATGTCATTGAATGGTGTCTCGTGTGTAACAGGCTTTTAGCAGCTTGACAGGCGTAAGCCTTGAACTATGTGGACCTATGGTTCCCTTTATTAAAAGATTCATTTTTGAAAATATGATTGTAAGACAAATTTAATGTTTGCGCCTAAAATTGAGAGTTTTCGGCTTCGTTTAAGATCCTTAATGTATAAGTCGGGTCTTCGTAATGAAATGATATATTTTTATTGGAAATATAAAGTGACTATAACGAATCTTGGCACAATATAACCAAAGTTTGAGAGTGGTAAGAAGTAGGGATGCCTATTTCTTGCCATGACCGGAAGATGTGGTTTTCTTTTTGAGGATTCTATAGCAACCGAGCTAGAAGATTTTCCAAATTTAATAGTACACAAAAATGAATTTAATGGTACACTGCATAACCAAAACATTGTGGTAAAGCTTTTGTTAATTATCTGCTGTACATCCTTTTCTCAAAATGTCCTTGTACAGTTTACAAAATACGATGTCATTGATTTTAGCATCTCACTTCGTTTTTTAGTGTGAAGATTGGGATGATAACCGGTTGTAATTTAAAAAGCATTATTGAAAAGCAGTTATTGTTGCAATATTCATATTTATTGTTTTAATGCCTCAGGTAAAGGATTATAGAATCGTGACATTTTAGGAATTATTCGAATTTTAGGAATGATGATGTTTCTAAAAAAAAAATCGTTTGTGAGAAGTACTTGAAATGTTGATTTTATGTAAATAGTTGTTCTCGATTAACTTAAACAGTGAGTTTTAGTAGCACTACAGTTTGTAAAACTTGATGAATTTGATGTGGAAGCAATGTGGTATATAATGAAGGCACCAGGTCCGGGGTTTGATCCTCATTCGGTGCTTACATTCTTGGACCTGGTGTTTTATCCAAGTTGCCCCCCTCTATCCCGTTGTAATGAATGGATACCTGGCAACCTTGGACCCTCGACAGAGCAGCTGTAATGACGAGCGTACCCTGAGTAAATAAAACCACCATTATTATTATAGGTTTAACCACATTGATATAAAGATGGGAAAACATATTTTGAACAGTGACAATGATAAATCATAATAATAATGATAATGATAAGTAACGTATTATCAAAGATACTAACACTGCATTCAACTTTTCTGTCGAATGATTTGTCCAAAAGCAAAGATATTTCCTGTGCCAAAGAAGATGAAAGATCACTGTTTCTCATTGTAGTGGTATTAACGTAGAATATTAAATGCATATTTGTAAATGCACAAGATGGTGCGGTTATTGAAGATATATATTTTTCTTGTAAATTATCTTTGAAAAGGTGCAATCCATCTATATACAACTCACATACAAGTCTTGAAGTTGATGTGGAAGGCCTCTACAGTTTAAAAACCTGGACTCACGAAGCGACTTGAATATTCGGGGTCTTTTATGGTAATTTCCGCATACAGTGCAATGCAAGATTATGCATGTTTCTCCGCGTGTATAATGAAATAGCGTTTAATGCTACGATGTATAACATCTAGTACACTCGTATAGATGAGTATGGAGTGGATGTTGCTAAATTGGGAAAACCAACCTTTCCCGATGTTTGCCCAACCTATATCAAATAAAGAAGTACATGTACGTTAGTTTCATGACTGTTTGAATTCTGGAACAGGTAATGTTGTCACTCTATAGGCACTTTGGGAAAGAAACAAGCATACATTCAGTGTATTACCTCATAACTTGATATTTTTTTAACTTACCACAATCAAAGTATATCACCTCAGCACATTGCATTATTGTTGAATTATCATTTTTTTACGACACGTATGTATTTCATTGAATACACTGTATTACGATGAAGATGTGTAAATTTGGGATTTTCTTCACTTAATAATAAATTATGTTGCCACCGAAAAAAAGCAATGTTGTATCCGCGTGCAGTTCATCGTTCATTAATGAGTAATGAAATTGTTCTAATATAAATAGAAAATATCATTTTCGGGTTGGTACAAGGTCCGATAGTTCTGGTGCGCTGGATATAAGTTTAATCCCTGTTATGTCAATGGGGAAAAGAACTTAGAAGGAGATACGAAAAACAAACAAAACAATTAAACTAAAATTCCAAAATACACCTACCCCTCGAGAGAATCGGCGGGGTATAGCCTGTAACTTTCACATATTTTGTTTAAGAGAGGGGAGGGGTGGTATTTGCCAATACAACCGTAGGCTACATAATATACCACCTTATTTTAAACATGAAGAAAACGACTCGATACTGGTTGTTAAATTGCATATTAGATTTTTTTAAATGTTACATAATATACAGGTGGAGAGAAAGAGAAACTGCGAAAAATACAATGTCATAGATGTAGCTTCAAAGAATATGATCGCAATTACTTTCGAAAAATAACTCATGGGCAATTTCAATACTTCTAGTGTGTAGCCTACCCCATAGAAATCAAATATGTATTTGTATGTCATTGCCATGTTCGCACATTTTAAAGTGTGATAGGCAAGGCCATTGAAATAGAGGTTCATTTTTTGAAAGTATAGTTGCGACCGTTTCATGCATAAATTTCCACTCAGGATGTGAGAGAACTGTGAGAATAGAGGGCTGTAAATATTTATTAGAATGATCCCGTTATGGCGCCATCTGTTGTCATACATTGGATGTTCTTTTGCATACAAGGGTTATAGGAGCAGGTGGATTGTATGACGGTATTGGAAAAATATTTGAAAACATCGTGAGGTATGGACCGAAAATATTACAAGTCACGCAAAATATTGAAAGAGAGAGAGAGAATGGAGTGAAATCATTTTGAAACATAACAATTGTGACTGCAGTGGTGTGCGCAGGCAGGTGTAGAATTGGCGCTTACAAAGAAAGGGGAGAGAGACAGAGAGAGAGAGAGGAGATAGAAAGACAGATAGAGAGACAGACAGACATAGAGAGAGACAGAGAGACAGAGAGACAGAGACAGAGACGAGGTGAGGGATGTTCTCCGGTTGGGGGAAGAGAAAGAAAAAAAAACAGTTTGCTTTAATACGTCTTGCAAGTATATCTCACTATGAAATTATTTAGGTCACAACCATTTCTGGATGGATAAGAAAGAATATAAATAATGAGACTTCAAGAATACGACACGATATTTCTTTGTATTATTCTCAGTAGGGAACAAGTATGTAAAGAAAAAAGAACGCTGTCTGTATTTCGTTTGAATAAATATTTTCTTTGGTATTCTGGCACTGTATTGTCTTCCCGTAGGTCCTTAGAAGTTATACTGACGTCATTGCATCCCCCCCCCCTCTCTCCCTCTCTCACTCTCTTTCTCTCTCTCTCTCTCTCTCTCTCTCTCTCTCTCTCTCTCTCTATCTCTCTCTCTCTGTCTATCCATAATATGACTCTCCCTCTTTCCATTTATTTCTTTCTTTCTTCCTCTCTTTCTCTCTCCCCCATTTCTCTGCATACAATTATAATATAATCTGCCATAGCCAGCTCTTTTATTCCGGAGGGCATGCAAGAGAAAAGAGTCGATAATGAAAAGGGATACGCTCAGGCGCGGATCCAGGGGGGGGGGGCCGAGCGTGCCTTGGCCCCCCCCCCCCGCAAAAAAAAAAAAAAAGAGAAGAAAGGAAAAGAAGGGAAAGTGAAAAGGAGAAAAAGGGAAAGAAAGAAGAGGAAGAAGAAAAGAAAAGGGGGAAGAAGGAGATCGGGGGGCCGAAAGGGCCTTGCCTCCCAGGCTGTTAACACCCCCCCCCCCCAATCAAAACAAATAAGAGAGAAGGAAGGAAAGGGAAAGAAAAAAAAGGAAAAGAGGAGATACTGGCGTACTGATAGGTGGGGGGGGGGGGCTTGGGAGAAGTCAAATTCAAACGTGGTTTATTTCTAATTCCACAACGGTGGATTACAAATAATGCTGAAATGACATAATTTCCGAAATTTTTCCTCACTTTTTAGTAAATTATACGTTTGTATGTGTTTCAGGGCTCAAATTAATTTTTCGTCCACGGGGGCTCTTCCCCCGAAAAAAAGAGCCCCCGTGAGCCTTCTCACGGGGGCTCTTTTTTATACAAATATCCATTTAATTGGTACCTATGATACTCTTCAATTATTTGCTATTTCATCATTATCATTTCAATCAGCATTTTCCCTCTTACAAATTTACAAGCTACATAGCTGTTACTGGCCTGTGTATATAATATACGCATACAACACTGATCTTTGTGATGTCTTTAACGTGACATATCTTCTTCTCCCCTTGCAAAGGAAAAAGAAAACATGGTCATTAAAAGGGATTAAGCGACAAATAATGATTGTGATTCAAACTGATGCGAATATTCGTTTGAATAAGCACTGCTATTCACCCGAAACTTCTTTTTAAAAACAACTTTTACAAATCTCAGCCATGCTTACTGAGTTGAGACGTTCCATTCAATTTAAAATACCCATTACATAATACACTTCTCCTAATCTCAAAGTGATCTTACAGCACAGTGGCAGAATTGCATGGCTGAGATTTGTAAAAGTCGTTTTTACAAAGAAGATTCTGGTGAAAAGCATTGCTTATTCAAAAAAATCCTTGCATCAATTTGAATCACAATGATTATTTGTCGCATGGTCCTTTTATTAAATAACCTTGTTTTCTGTTTTGTTTGCAGAGGGAGAAGAAGCTATGTCACGTTAAGAAATCATAAAGATCAGTTGTACATGTATTATGCGTATATACATATGATACCAGAACAAATGTTGATTATCAGAATGTCATTTTGGAATACCTCTATACAAATACCACATTGTCTTTAGTCCGTATCAGTATTAGTATGATCCAATATAAGGCTATTATTCTTTATTTAATTCAGTATAATGCTTTTCCTCAAAAATAGTTTTGCTATTTTTTTAGGGTCGAGACGCTAAGAAATGGTTTCAAATGTACATTACACGAACCCTGAACCATTGCAAAATGATGGTGATTCTCTCTCTCTCTCTCTCTCTCTTTCTTTATTTTAATTATGCATTATCAACTACATATAAAGCAGCAACCAAAAACTTAGGGTTATCTGAGAAAGGTGAAAGTAAGAGTTAAAAAGAAAGTCATGCTAAAACGGCGCTTCACTTCCCACCGCCCCCTGAAAAAAATAAAATAGATTAGTAGTCCTCCTCTCCAGAATCCACCTCCCCCCCCCCCCCCCGCTTTAATATCACATTTTCACTTGGCAGCCCAAGGGGGCCGGGGGTGGGAGGAGGGGGTTAAACCCCCTACCCCCACCCCCTGCCGTAGATCTGCCCATGTTACCATATCATTCCACGACATTTTGGTCTTCCTCTTCTCCTCAAAAGGGACTTTTAGATTTGCGTGGACGTGGACGTGTTACGTCCTTTTAAGGCACTGGCAATCACATGTGACGTCCTTTTAAGCAATGGCAGTGCCTTAAAAGGAGGTCACACGTTGCAGTCCACGTTCTCATCGTGCAAATCTAAAAGTCCCTAATATTGATTTACTGGTCGAGGTTCATTATTTGCTGACAACGAAAAACTTCTCCAGGCCATGACCATGTTTCTGCCCTTGCCCGATCGCCTCCAGCTCCAGCAGACATGGCGCAGCAGCGTGCACACGCACCGCTACTAACGGCGCAGTAGGCCTATAACCACTGCTGACGGCGGCACTGCACTTTTCTTCGTTTTCTTCCTCTAATGATTAAATGAAACGTAAAAGCTTCCGCGCTTCGCGCGGGAGGGGGGGGGGGGGAACCTGAATTCAGACGAGGATTAAGAGTCGAGAACTGTACAACGAATCGTTTTCTTCCTCTAATGATTAAATGAAACGTAAAAGCTTCCGCGCTTCGCGCAGGAGGGGGGGGGCTGAATTTAGACAAGGATTAAGAGTCGAGAACTGTACAACGAATCGTTTTCTTTCTCTAATGATTTAATGAAACGTAAAAGCTTCCGCGCTTCGCGCGGGAGGCGGGGGAGAGGAGGGGGGGGGACTTAATTTAGACAAGGATTAAGAGTCGAGAACAGTACAACGAATCGTCTTCTTTATCTAATAATTTAATGAATCGTAAAAGCTTCCGCGCATCGCGCGGGAGGTGGGGAACCTGTATTCAAACGAGGATTAAGAGTCGAGAACTCTACAACGACTCGTCTTCTTCCTCTAATAATTTAATAAATTGTAGAATTTTCGGCGCTTCGCGCGGGGGGGGGGGGGGAACTAAATTCAGACGAGAATTATTTCCGAGAACGGTACAACGAATCGTCTTCTTTCTCTAATAATATAATGAAACGTTAAAGCTTGGGAGGGGGAAACTCCCCCCCCCCCCGCATTACGTCACTGTTGGTCACCATTACGTACCAATATTTGGCTCGCATAATTTCAAATTTGGGCCCCCCCCCCCCCTAAGAAATCCTGGATCCGCGCCTGGATACGCTTTATATTCTCAAACTGCCTCTATAAAAGTATAACGATTTGGGGGGCTTTTACATTTAGACCCTCTTCCTCTTTACTTTACTGGCTTAATATGTTTCCCTGTAGCTTGGACAATACAATATGCTACACGTCTGGCGAGCTCTTTTTATAATCTTCCGCCATAGTGGTATTTTCTGACAGCCCCTCCATACAATACCCACCGACTGCAACCCCCCCCCCCCCCCTCTCTCTCTCTCTCTCTCTCAACTAGGCGTGAACCGTCTACGCACTGACATTGGTCGGTGAACACTGTCTGCCGATGCATACTCCATTATCGTTGAAACGTTTTCCATCAACCGGTCAATGTGAACGTGCCCACCGATGAATCATCAGTCGATAGCATGTATTGTTTGAGCGAGGACACGATTCTATAGACCTTAAAACACACGAAGAATAGCATCATATACACCATTTCCTACTTGGTTGTCATTTGGAAAGGTGCAATACTGTAACCAGCTCGCAGACAGATACATACACATTATCATGGTAAGTCCTTTTGATCAGTTTACATTTTTGGCAATTCGTTCATAATGATTCAAGCCCCTATCAGGCATTTGCAAGCCCTTTATCTGAAAATTTATCTGTAGCGGCAAGACGAGCCTATATGAAAATATGTGCAATATTTTAAAATACTAGGTGGTTTTCTTTCTGTAGGCTTTGAAGCCCTCATTTTGTACACAACAAATGGAGTGAATAAAACGCTGCCAGTTACAAAATTCAAATTTGATAAAGAAAAATGACTGTTATTTTGCTAACGATGAATATTTTTTTTCCTACCATACTTTTAGGAAAGATTTCAATTATGATGTTTTTACAACATTTTTGCCCTTTTACAAGTTTTAACATTTTCACAATACACGCTATTCCCTGTAAAACCCTTTAAATGAATTAAAGTAATTATATTAGCTTCAATTTACATTAGGCATAGACCTATCAACTATTTTGTAGGGAATCTATGAATATAAATCTTATTAAGACAATGCCAATGTTTGTTCTTAATGAAACATTTGTGTTTAAAAGATAATAGAGAATGAATGGAAATCTTGAAATCACCCCTGTAGCTATTAAACAATTTCTCATTTACTGAACGATTAATTTGTTACCTGTCGTTATTGTTAAATGTTATAAAATGATAGTAACTTTGCGTTATATACAAGCAGTTTAAACAACTTATATACCATTTTCCATTCGTACTATTTGAAACACTAAAACATTAGAAAGCAGTTCGATTAATCGAATTATAGGTCTAATGATTAAAGATTAAGGGGTCTGCTCGCTATTCATAAAGACCGCTATTTATAAAGGAACGATAGATAGCGGTCCTTATGAACAGCGAGCTTGCACCAAAGGTTAAACCCTAAACCGCTTATATAAAGGATTTGCTTCTCTAAAATAGACGGAACTCTAGACCGAATAACAAGCATGTAAATGGGGAAGTAACCTTAGATTTTCCTTTATTTCTTCTTCTTCTTTTATTTCTTTAGTAACTTATTTTATTTATATATTTATTTTGAGGGTGTTTTATTAAAGAGAAGAAGGAATGTGATCTAATTTGATTTAAACCTTTTACATGTTTTTTTCTTCAAATGAGGAAGACAGTGTTCCATAAACAAGAAATGCCGGTACAAAATAGCAAACAAATATTATAAGCAATTGTTCATCTATTTTTTTTTTTACTCCAAATCAAAAGGCATATCAAGATACTGATACTGTGGGGGGGGGGGGGGGGAGATCATTTTCCCAGAGATTGATGTAGATATCACGTATCTTGGCCTTCAAACAGGGTGGGGTCTATGCCAATTTCACCCTATACTAGAATGTTGGATACGCCAATGAAATCTGAAAACTAATGAGATATTATATTTGGGGGAAAAACTTTAGAGTAAGATATTTCCCCAAATAATAAAATTTAAATTGTTCACTGCTCCCCGTACGACAAGTGCACCAATATTTATGGGAACGTTTCTCTTCGAATGAACCTAGACGGAAATAAGTTTGCTTGAAAATCCCAAATTTGTTTCCTTTAACGTTTGTAATTATGTGTCTGTGAAATTTCGCCACCTGTTTCAGCTGGTACTCGTGCTAAAGGCTAAGTACTCACTAAGTACTCATGGGAGGCGTCACGTGGGGAGGGGGGTCAAAGGGGAATCATTATAGAACTATCAAAACAATAACGACAACAGCAAAAAAGTAACAAACACAAGTAGGGAATCCCGAAGTAGAAATCGACAATTTAACATGAATCTTTGTAACCGGAAATTCGTATGAAACTCCTTTTATTCTTCTCAATGAAAACAATATACAGTTCATTAGTTTGATAGCCTTAGGGATTTTCAGTGTAAACACGGCTAGTGAGGGACTCTCCCCTTGTTTCTTGTTTCCACTGAACGTGTTTGATTAGAATGCTGTTGCCGATCGTTAGCAAATAAGTGATAAAACCTTATCAATTACAAAGTGCAAGCTGATTAAAACAGTTATTCTGAATCTGCAACATTCTGTAATTGTTTAACCAATTCAGATCAGAATAGATTGACATTAATAACATCAATTATGAGGTCATAATTATCCTGGCCTTTGGGTCGCCTCTATTTCATTTTCTTACATAATTTACCCTAAAAAATATCATGAGATATTTCTTAAAGCTTGAAAAGCATACGTACTATCATACAAAATATGTAAATCATTGTGTTATAATCATAATGTATTCTTTCTATTCTTAAATTACTATCAAAAAGTTGTTATTTAAAGGGCACTTATCATCAGTAATGCCAATCACTGTGTAATAATACAATTCTATTCTTATAATTATGATCATCAAAAAGCTGTAATTATGATTGAACTTAGCAATCCCTCATACTATTTATTCGGCATTGAAGCTTGAAAGGCATTCAATTCGATTTCCGTAAATCACTATCATGCTTCATTAGACAGCCATTATACTCCCATAATTTCTGCAAAACAAAATTGTTCACGACCTTCGCTATTGTGACGTCTCGTATAAACAAATAATGGACGGTATGAATTGTTAAGGTGTTCCTAACAGTTATTTAGGTACATGCCATTGTAACACGTTTTATTAGACCTACTTAATTTGCGTTGCATTATTAGTTAAATCGACAAATTTGCAGTCGCGAAATATATTATGTTGTCTCATCAATAACGAAATAAAATTAATGAAAGATCAGATTCTGCAAAAAGGGTGCTAAGATCATTCCAGAATTCGTTAAAGACTTGAAAGGTAAAGAAAAGGGGTGCACAGGTTTCGGTTCACCTTTTACAAAAGGAACACTCTGTATCTGTAATTTTTTTAATGCGGAAAAGCCAAACTTTGGTAAGAATTAATTCATCAAGAATTTTTTTTTTAATAGCAAAGCTCGTATAGCTTTATAAATATGATAATACAAAATAGAAGTTTTAAAAGCCCTTTTATTTTGTTATGTTGTAGTCCGTAACTTTAAGTTGAATGAGTGAATATATTTGATTTATTTTCCATCAGAAAATTGATGTTCCTGTTATAAACATATTCCTATAATAAAACGAATCCACTCTTGTTTAATTATTATACGCATGGTTGAATCCATATGTTTCGCATTTTGTAAAACCATACCAATCTTATGATAAAAAGTATTCTGGGCCTAAGATTTATTCAAACCTCATGAACCCATAGACATGTATTTACATCAATGAAAATACATATTTTCCCTAAATGTAAACGATACAAAATGTGTACATGTAGTTAGAATTGAATAAATACAAATAAGTTTTAGAAAAATGCATCATAATGATCTGATTACGTCCATACCTTTGACGTGACCAATTTTTGTGTGAATGGTTGAAAGCGAATGCCCATCATATTCGGTGGACCAATGCTACGCAGACAATAGTTGACATAACTTGAACACACTACCCTGCAGTTTACTCAGTAAACAGAGAATGACTCTTCTCGAGTGCCACGCCCACTTTTGATATTGGCAAATATGCACATACACTATTATGAACTCTCTTACTAGCTAACCCAGTGTTCACGACAGTGTTTCCCTTGTGCATGGGAACACACCGAGAGGGATAACAAAGCAAAAGTCAATACTGAAGGTGTATCCTTAAGTGACGTCATTTTTCATTGGGTCAAACAGCACTTCCCTTTTCAATATTCTATTCATAAAATGAGGTTGAGAGTATCTATATATGAAGATAAATTTACTGGTACTCATTACTGTAATAATTCATTTCGTTCTACCTCACCAGTTCACAATACACCAATGCCTATAACTTGTAAATACCATGCGCTATTCAAATTGTATCTAATTTTTTTATTGTCTGTATTATGATCACTGATGAAGCCAATAATGTTTTACAAAAAAGGCCGATCAAAGAATTCCATAATCAGTTGAAATATAAACAGTTCTACTTATATCATATTATAAGGAATGATAATGGTAACAATCATAATCTTGTAATAGAATGATAATATAGCTGCAGTAGATGAACAAGTACCATTTCAGTACATGTCAGGGGTTTGGAAAATATCGAGAAGCCAGGAAGAGAAAGAGAAAGAGTAAGTATATTATTGTGGTTATTTACTTTGTACCATTATGTTGTGTTGAATGTATTTCCTATTTTGACTTATTAAAATAATAAATCTTTCTGAACTAACTTCCCCCTCCCTCTCTCTATTCTCTCTCTCTCTCTCTTTCTCTCTCTCTCTCTCTCTCTCTCTCTCTCTCTCTCTCTCTCTCCCTCTCTTTCTTTCTGTCTCTCTACTCTCACTCACACTCTCTCTATTCTATCTCTCCCCTCTCTATCTCTCTCTCTCTCTCTCCTTCTCATTCTCTCTCTTTCACCTTTGTTTCTCTCTTTCATATGCACATCATCCCAGTCGAAGCCAACAGAGAGCCAATTGAAAGGTAAGATTTCATACCCCCCCCCCCCCACACACACACACATAATATACACTTTCTCCTCTGGTTATCATGTTGACATTGTATGTGCATTGGCAGCATCAGGATTCTTGGGGAGGGGGGGGGGCAAACATGTAAGAAAAAGACAAGTAAAGAATGGCCGGGGGTATCATACTTTGTACATGGACAATAATTATTAAACAAGCAAATATATTCCATATTTGGCTGATAGAGTGAGAGTGAGTGAGTGTGGGTGGGTGTGTGTGTGTGTGTGTGTGTGTGTGAGAGAGAGAGAGAAAGAGAGAGAGAAAGAGAAAGATGGAGGAGAAAAGGAGAAAGAGAGAATTATAAGGGCGCACGTGCCCCCTGTGCACCGCCCCCAACCTCCACTGCTGCGGACTGCAATTTCGAGACCAAACGACAACTGATCTAAAAAGAGAACTGGATTAATGCAAATAATTATATAGATCAAGGAAAATTTGTCTTTATACTTTAATGATTAAGCATAGTAGAGAGTCCATGCGAGGATAAGTATAAGGTCAAGTGAGACAAAAACGTGTTTTTTATAAATGATTCATTTTTTAATGATTTTGATTTACCTATTTACGACTCTATTTTCAACCTCTACTCCACCCAGAGTTTAAGGAGGCGTTTGGTCTTTACGATAGGGATAATGATGGCTTCATCACAACAGATATACTAGGAGAGGTCATGAGGTCATTGGGGTCATGTCCGACGGAAGCGGAAGTGGAGGAGTCTATCAACATGGAGGACCCACATGGTAAGGGAATATATTAAATTCAAAGAGTTCAGATGGACATCATTATTGCTCGATTTGTTGTGTTTTTTACAACAGCGCTTGAATCGAGAAATTCTACCGATCGGACACCTGCAAATTAATGCTTGATAAAGATATTTTATTCGTCGCCAACATTCTTCTCCCTTTTTCTCATAATTAGTCTTTTCCATCTCATCCTTCTTCTGTTTTTTCATTTTTCTTTTTGTTCTTTTTCCTTCTTCTTTTCCTCCATTTCTGTATATACCTTGTCAACATGATTATGATTATGGTTGTTTTTGTTGCTCACGTTGTTCTGCTCTTTTCCTCCTTTTTGTTAATCTTATTCTCTTTCTTATTCTACTTCTTCTTTATCCTTCCTATTATCCATCTGTTAATTGTTTCCTTACACCCTTTGCAGGTAAAGGTAAACTAGACTTCAACGTGTTTTCTCGGATAATGGCACATCACATCAGTCAGTCACAGGTGGATCCTGAAGAATTCCGAGATGCCTTCAGAGTTTTTGATAAAGATGACACGGGAACACTTAGGTAGGTCTATTATGTCGTTATTTCCACCATTTTGTTTAAAAAGCATATTGTTTATGCTGTAGACAGATAAACCCCCTCCCCCCTCCACTCCACTCCACAAAAAAAAGATAAGGGAAACACTGTAGATTTGGTTGAAGAAAAACTTGAACTAGTCTTTGGCACCCGGTGCGGTTTTTAGCACTTACATATTGATCTATGTATACAAAAACACAACTCTGGTTACTATCGATTCTACACTTTAAAGCAAATGCGACGTATAGGTGTAAACATAATATTGTCATAGACAATAAATAATTACCCGTAGTAAAATTATACTACTAATTAAAAGTAAAGTTCAAGAAACAGCAAAAACGTATTTTGATACAATCGAATCTTTATTGGACAGTCTTTTGGCCTAGAAACGTAGTATTAGGCGCATTATAAATGTGAGCTATTATTATTATTATTCCATAAAATCTTGTTTTATTGTTTTACTTTGACCAATCAGCGCAGCGGAGTTACGTCACGTGATGACAAGCCTTGGTGAGAAGTTAACGGATACTGAAGTAGATGAGATGATACGAGAGGCGGATGTAGGCAGTGACGGCAGGATAAATTATGAAGGTAATATAGTCCATCTAAACATCTTTATTATTAGATACAAGGCTCCATGCACCACGAACGTGACATTGATAAATAGTAATATGGCATGTCTCTTTTAAAGTACTTCTCTGTTAAAGATACTATGTCCCTTTTGCATCCAACATCAAAATCCGTAGAACTTTGCAGGAATTATGAATATGACATGTATGTCCCACCCGTGAAATTTAATTTAATTCCTTTAACAATGATTGTGTTGCCTTTGAAGGTTATGTTGTATATCAGCCAAACTATGAAATATTCATTTTTATCATGAATCCATAGGTTAAATTTTCCCTTTAATGACAATGACAAAAATCATTTAATCATGTTATATTATCTAGGATACTGTTGCCAAATGACTGCAATAATAGCTTCTGACTATTAAATATAACTGTTTTATAAACAACATTTACATTTATTTTTGTTCTCTCCTGCCTTTTCTCATTCCAGAATTCGTTCAAATGATAGCTCAGACACAACAGTGAATCCAACAAGTTCAATTAGAGATATAAACACCTTAGTCTTTCAGGATAAAGAACAGTTACAGAGTCCTGAATCTCGTCTTACTATAACAAGTTGCGATCGATCCAGTTTGATCGTAAGGCCTTCAACCAATCGCAAACTTAGAAGCTTTCATCTCTTCACTGCAGAGTTCTGGGCCCCGTCTTATAAACAGTTAATTTTTATCGTAACTTATTTGTGATTGATTTCATTCACAACTATGTAAATTAGAGATAGGAGACTGTAAACTTGCGATTAGTTTGAGGACTTGCGATTGATGTGGATCAATCGTCCAGAATTATATTATGTTAAATATCTGTTAATAAGACGAGATTCTGAATGGGAAACACATTTTGGCTGCGTCTTTAATAAGAGTGTGCAATGATAACAAACGCTTTATATTTCTCATAGTGCTTTCTAGGATTGAGTAATTAGAGTAAAGGAAATTCCAAGGATAGTAATATTTCAAGAATAAGTATGCCAAAGTTCTCCAGGACACTATTGAAAATGAGCGACGACATTTTCATTTTGCCATATTCTTGCAGTAACAGACGACAAGAGAATCCATAGCTAGTGAGGTATTTCTGAGCGAATCGGCATAGCGCCATCTATAGAAACGGACAGATAGCTTTGTGAATCATTTTTCATTATTCATTTTCCCAAACATCCATTATGATTTAGGCCGGGTTCAGTGGGAATATTCGAACAATCAATTCAATGGAAGATATATTTGCTCGATACTTATGTCATATCATGAAGACAAACTATGAAGTTTCGTTTTATTCATGTTTCTAAATTCTTTTAAATGAAATGAAATCTACGAATCAATCAAAAACAGCAAGAATAACGTGATTATGCTTGTTGGAATAATTGTGTCTTTAAAATATGACAATATTTTGATCTCATAATGTTACTTCATCACTGAATATTGTCTTGATTAAAAGTGTCTCTGTATTAGTGAAAAACTTGAAAAACCTTTCATCTGAAATATTGTTGATAGCCAAACTAACTAGAAAAATCATTTAAAAAGCAATCTAATAACAAGAAATGCATTGTATGTATGCCTATTGCCGCAGAGTGATGACGTTTATTGAATGTGAATTTATAGCGAATATTATTTATGTAGTCAATGTTAATAAAAACACTGAAAAGGTCACACAAGAATTGAATGAAATTTTCATTATTTAAGGTTTTGAATGATAGTAACTATACCGTAAATACATATATAAAAGATAGTGGCCTGTGCTCTCACACCCCTCCCCCATTTTGAAAAAGAGAAAGAGAAATGGAGAGGAGAGAGAAAGGGTCATAAAAAAGAAAGGAGATAGAAGTGAAAGGAGAGGCACTTCCAATGGGAGTATTGTTAAGTAAGACATATGCCACCAAGACCCCCATTATTATGCCACTCCCTCCACAAATGGTGGTTCACGTTTAAGCCCCTGTATTTTCACCAATATAATCATTATCCGATTAATAAATAACCTGGCCCTACTTTCACAATCTGCATTTTTTTCAAAGCGTCGTAATTGTAGTTATTCCTAAAATTGTAGTTACATGTACTTATTAATGTTACGAGCTGAATAGTAAAACATTGTCTTACTATAGGTTTAATTTATGTGTTGCCACAACATTTTGTCAAAATCATGAATCCTTGATAGACTTCCGTTGTTTACCCACATAATAGTGACATTTGAATAAATGACATTAATTCTCCATTCAAGGAAACACGGATTAAATCTCAATGCTTATGATTTTCAGAGCAGGAAATGCTTGATAACTGTTAACAGTCCAGTTATTGGCAGGGAAAAAAAAGACATCAACGTTAACATGCATTTGCAGTGCAGGGAGCATTAGATAAATACCCCGAGCATTCAAGTACCTCTCCTCTAGGCCGCCCAGCTTACATGCGATAGAGTACATTTATTAGAATAAGGGTAGCAAACGACCAAAAGCGCGCAATCCACTCAATTGCTCACGTTTTATATACATCCGGATGTAATATTGTTGCTAGGCAACCGGTATGACGGCATTGCGATGGGAAGAGTAGCTGGCATATGGTAGGATTGCAAGATCGCGGAGGATGAGGAGGGAGAATGGTGGACAGAGAGGCAGTGGCGGGTTAAAGGAGGCACGGGAAGGATACGTCCCCCGGCCCCTTCCCCTCCACCCCGCCACAAGAAAAGGGAGGATGAAACGGGCTAATATGTCTTGTTTCTATTATCTATAATTATTCTCATTATTTATTTATTCAATTACTTTTGCTTGTCAGAGAAAAACAGGCGCATCACAAAGAAGATTATCTTTTATTGCTTCTTATCACAGGAATTTTAGACTGTGCCCCCCCCCCCCCCCCCCACCAGAGAAACCTGGATCCGCCACTGAGAAGCGAGATATGGTGTTGGGTAGGATAAGAGGATGATACTCGTTCTTTTGTCCCATAGGTTCTCTTGAGAGGAAATGTTGAGCATTTTTTTAACCAGAGGCGATTAAGACCTTGCATAATGCGGCACTGCAATTCATTCACAGACACATAACACCACACCAGGGAGATTGCGAATGCATGGGCTATAAATAAGGTGAAAATCAATCGCATTTTACTACAAATTACGAAAACCTTCAATTTGATGTTACGAACGGAGGAATAATAATCCCCAGTGTATTAAGGCAATGCATCAAACCACATTTGATATCAGTTCAAGTGTCCTTTCATTTGAAATAATAATCTCATGAAACTGATGACAAACATTATAATGCGTGGAAAAAACATTGCAAAATAGTATAGAATATCACTTTTGTTTTAATAGCTTACAGACAGAGTGGTGTTCAGTTGTGGATGTTAAGGGGGCTGGGGATATTTGCTCCCCCATACTTTCCAAAGGACCCCTCCCCCTCCCCTAGACAAAAGAAGAAAAAATGTGCTGCGCCTCTTCGGAATGGACATTGTCATAAAAACAGTGACAACCGAATCCCAGCCCGGCACTAACGTCCTTTGGCAAGACATTAATCCACATTTGTCGCTCCCCACCCAGGTGTAAATGATTACCTGGCAATTGCGCAGGTAATAATGGTTGCAGGGCCAGCAGGAAAAGCAGTGTCAATACTGATGTGGCTACACTCGGGGTACATAAGACAAACTTAATATTATCATTATTAGTAATTGGAGTACTAGTAGTAGTAGTAGTAGTAGTAGTAGTAGTAGTAGTAGTAATAGTAGTAGTAGTAGTAGCAGTAGTAGTAGTAGTAGTAGTAGTAGTAGTAGTAGTAGTAGTAGTAGTAGTAGTATTTTCAATAATTATTTTTTATCATCAATATTGTTATTTGTTATTATTATTATTATTTATCTGTTTTAATTATTTTTTATTGTCATTGCTATTATTATCATCATAATTATTTTTATGACAAATAGTCATAACATCACTATAGTAATCACTCTGACAGACAGCAGACCACCGTAATGAGATTGATCATATATTACTCTCGATGAATAGGGAAGAAAATATCGGACATAGCAAATATTCAAGCTATACCAGCAACAACGTCATCAAAATGGTAAAAGTGGTGTTATATTGAATAAACCTCAAGCCACAGTAAAGGTATAGTCATAATGTTTTGCTAGAATGCAATGAAATATGGAATCAAATATCTTGCAGTATTCACCCATGCGTGAGAACAATTTAGAAGCATAGTAATATGAAGCAACAATATTCAGAAGCTCTAGAGCTGTTGTTTGCATGCTATATTGAAAGTACCAATAGCCATTCGAATGCGGCGCCTTTTCAATTCCTGAAGATTTAAGGCTGTTGAGATTATGGCGCGGTAAAACACCGGGGAAAAAAAGAGAGAAAAAAAATGGCAACTATATTAAAAAATGTGTTTTTACTCAGCTCTGTGTTATAAGATATGTGAAGCGTATAACAGTTCATCATTAAAAAATCGCCGTGTCAAATCTGGACGAGCATTTTAATAGTCTGCATGCAATTTGCAACTCTAGCGATCTCATTGCTCAGTGATACAAATAATTACTTCCTATTTGTCTGACAATCCACCCCCCTCCCCCCTCCAAAGAAGAAAACATATTTAAAAAGTTGTCCATAGTCGTCAGTTTCATGTGTTGTAGCCGATTCAAAGACGAGGATGTATGATCGTCATATCTGGAAGTTCAAGTTCAAAGTTCAAATTTTATTTCCATTTTCAACAAAACCAATGTAAATTATATACAATAAATAAATTACAAACAACACTGTACAAAGTATACAAAAATAATTATGCAAGAGTCAGGAGCGCCAGGAGTGCCAAGTCTGACAGACATAAGCGCTATACAAGAACCCACTATTATTATTATTATTATTATTATTACATGTTATTTTTCTTTACACAACAAAACACATTTGATCAAAATCTATTCTTAATTAAGTTACAAGGAATTATAAGATGATAATTATCATACAATCTAAATCAAAAAGTGTGAATGAGTCTAGAAGGAGGTGGGGTGCGAACAAAAAACATGAATATTGTTTTCGTGACACGGATGCTTTCACCGAATGCTGTTTGAAAGTCATTTCGATTGCACAGCTGCGGGGAGGAAGACGAGCTCGGTTACCTAATGACGTGGTTTATTAGATTTCGTGAATGTCACGTGCACGGTAGGTGGTCGCGGAACATCGTATTAATGACGACAGTACTAGACTTTATAATGGGTAGAGGAGTTATAATACTGATTCGTATAATCATATTTCAGTAGTTCTAAAAATATAATGATTTTTCTATGTGTGCTTTATCCAATAACAGTGATTGACCCCTGTTTTTTTACCAAAAATGTCATAGGTTAAACTTCTAAACGACCAGAATTCGGATTGCCTGTGAAATCACATATTACATATTTCTGACTTGGATAAGTTTTGATGTATAAGTGATATTTCATGGAAGGCTCTCACGTCCCTAAAACTGTTCTAATAAGATGACCTCAACTCAATGAGCTGACTCAATTAAAACGTGGTATATATTAAAGATACTATGTCCCTTTTGCAGCCAACCTCAAATTCTGTAGAACTTTGCAGGAATTATGAATATGTCATGTATGTCCTATCTGTGAAATTTAAACGTTAGCAGTGTCCTCATATTCGAATTATGCAAGGAAACCCGTTTACTTGCTAGACTTCACTGTCAGACACTATTGAGTGACTGACTGGCTTTTTTCTTCTTTGGTAATAACATACATGAAAAGAGTTGTAAAGGGTACATAAGCATTTGTCTACATCAATAACCCACTTCTTGTGATGGTCAAGATTAAACTGATTGAATCTTTGCGCAGCATAAAACGTATGACCATTCGGTACAATTGTCTGAAAATCAAGACTATTACTTTTGGGCTCTGTAGCCCTAAAGTCGATTTGACAACTAATAGTCGTTATTTTCCCACTTGTAGATATTTTCAAGCCCCACCATTTTTAGGGAAGTTCTAAATTAGTATTATCTTTCAAATGCAGTTGGAATTTAACTTTTTCATTTTTTGGCCTGCAAATGGGACATAGTACCTTTAAGAGAGAATGCTTTTAAAATTCCTTCTACAAGGCATTACTCCTCATTACCAAGTCCCTCCGAGAGGACTTAAATTCGTCGGTCCCATGGTTGCTTACTTACAAGCAAACACATGCTCTCTTAGCAGTCAGGTAAAAACAAACCATCAAACCATCAAGAAAGATGAATTTGAATTGAAATACTCCACAGTAGATTCTTTTCAATGTAGGCCTAAATAGTTTAGTAGCAATGATAAGATCCAATACGAATCAATTATTTGTATATGGAGACTGGTTAGTCATAGGAATCATTTATGTAAGTGACCTACTTAATACTACAGTCACAAAGGTTCGTACGAACGATAACTTCGTACGAATCTCCCTGTTTTTCCATTGTCTTCCCGAATTTCCATTGTCTGAAAATCGTTCGTACGGCGTTCGTAGCAGTACGTAATGGCATTTGTGACCGAGGCTTAACCCTCCCCATCCTGATAGCAAACTTTAAACAAAAATTGTACTCGATTGTAATGTCAACGTTAATGAGGAGAAAGAAATGTGATGAAAATCCCCCACAATGGCTTGATATATCATTTTAGAACATAACCAAGATGTAATCTCTGATAATAATATTGATAAGCTGAGAAA